AATTTTTTCAGGCTATATTTACTGAATTTATATAATAGCCTTACTAAATTGAAAGATGGCTCATTTTATTTGCATTTAGTTGAAACGAAGAAAGTAACTCAACATCAGCTAAGCTGGAATACGATGTTTTGTTTTAATTCATAATCAACCTTGAATTAATCTACATATATTTTCTGATTGTGGATCGTAATGCCAGAGAAGAGTGAGTACTAAGTTCTTTTGCACTGGGACTCAACGTCTGAGGATTTTGACTCCATTCAGTCAATGCCTGCGGTCTTTGATTTAAGAGGCTGGTACCAACATTGAGAATGAAAATCAGCGAAAAAGACTGAGTTAAACACAGCGTTCGATTTGGCCAACGGACAAATTTGAATGAGATAATACAATTTGAGGTAATAAAATGAAACGATAGGTAACATAAATATTCACTTGTTATATTACCAAGTGAAGCTATACATACCAAGTCAATTTATTTGCACAGTTTGGTTCTGTTTTTTTGTTTTGTTACTTAAACATGATTTTTTTTTACAGATCAATTATTTCTGCATCACACTATCTATAAATTTTTCAGATTCTAAGGCCAAAATGTTTGTACTGCAAGCGTGTGTTAATCTTAGTCGTTTGGCAACTTGACACGATTCGGGGGGGAGGGGAGGGGGCAGGAGTTCAGATGTCGATGACGCTGAGTGCCTCGATCACCTGAGCTATCTTGAACCCGATTTGCCTTAGTCAGCTTACTTTGTAAAAAAACCTCCAAAACATCACCGCTTAACTGACAGACGACCAATTACATCGTGACCAATCAGGTCAATAACCAGGGTTTAAAAAATAATACCATTAACTGACGAGATTACAACTCATTTTGACTCTGAAGGTGACGACTACACAGGTCGTCGAAATGTCGGTCACTGTCAACAACAGTCCTATTCAGGATTACGCTCACCTGGACGATCATGCTTCAACTACAATATGAAATGATCCCTATGCCAAAAATCTTGTGAAAGGTTTAAACCCAGCCTCAATGTTTTTACTCTGTTAAAGAAGTAGTGAGAGGGGTGGAAAACGAACAAAGAACGTTTTTTTTTCTCTACAGTATTATGAAATGAGCTATAAATACTTGGATCCCACGTAAAATAAACGGCACACTATTTTAGTAGTTTACATTTCTGAATATAATTATCATATACACTGTAGAACAAATAAAGCAACGTTTACATGGACACTGTTGGGGCCACAGTAAGTGTCCGCATTGAAAGGGTATCCGTATATTAAGCGGGTTAAATTTAGAAAAGTGTAAGGGTTTTCTTTCCCCAGGGACAAAGCAAACTGTCCGCATTAATGAGGTGTCCGGCTGTATTAAGCGGTTGTCCGTAAAGCGGGGTATGACTGTACAAGGAGATGTTAAGTTAAAAGGGATCAGTTTAGGTTTTTGGGAAACTGCCGACCTACCCCTCTCCTAAACATCATTTTGCCCAAAGTGAGAATGAATTGTTAATGTTAGCTTTGGGGAGGGGTAGGTGGGCAGTTTCCCAGAAACCTAAATTGATCTGTTAAAATTACAGTCAACACGGGGTTTGACTGTATACTATTGTCCTAAAATGAACTGTTTCATTACTTTCTAACGTCAGAATTATTTGATGGAGATTCTCCTGAGCAGTTATCAAAGAAAAGGAGGAGAAACATCTATGGTGATATGCCCTTTGAAGACGAAGACTTTCCGGAAGATGACGCTTTTTATCGTGACGACGATGATGCTGATGGTTACGATGAAGACGACATGCATTACAGAAGACAACAGCAGCAGAGGAGATACTACAGACAATCTTAGTAATTTAGAGAGACCGGCAGATGAAAACTAAGGATGTAATAGCACAATCATCTTTACCATGTATAACTACAGTGACACAAGAAAGCTTTCCATTCAGCTTAGTGAATAGATATGAAAACCCATTAGGTTGTGACTTTAAAGACAATTTGCCTGATTTCGTCATATACTTTACTAAAACTTTCAGAATTGAATCAGAACCTTCTAGGATGGTTTATTTTGTGTGAAAATTATATAAGATTAAAGCTTATAGTGGTCTACTAGTCGAGGATAATAAATGTTAACCCAAGTGGAAAAACGAAATGACGTCCAGTAGTTCTAGTCAAATCGTTAGTCAAAAAGTTCAATTTTAAAAAACGGAAAATTAAGCCGAAAACTGAAATGATAAAGGTGATGAAAACTGCACAATTTCTTAAATTTGCAATTCCGTCCCCCCCCCCTCCAACACCAGCCCAGCACCACCCACGCAACACCACTGAAAATGAACGTAAAGCCCCCCTTAATGTCTGAGCCAGATGTTATGGAATTTTTACTGGATGTTTTCGGTGATCAGTCAAAAAAGCCAAAAAATTCAAAGAGTGCAGACTGTAATAGTGTTATGGTGCATCAGTGATTGTGAGCTAGGTTATTGGGTGGTTTCCCTCTCTTGCACATATTGTTACTGATATTGTTACTGATCTAACGCCATACTCATCTGAGAACGACCACACTTTCTTCAATATGTCACTTTAGTTGAAAACAATCTTTAAAGGGGCTGTGTCAAAAAGTTTATCAAAATTGAACAGTGGGAACTGCCACTAAATTAAGTGGACAATAAAAATAACAACTCAAAACGTAAAAAGAAGGTTTATAAATAAGCGAACTGATATATACAAATTGACGAGGCCCAGATTGACAAATTTAAAAAAGATTGAAGATGATTGTAATTGTGGTTTATGAAAACTTGTAAGCCTAACAATTTTTCAAAGTTAATTCTAACGTTTGATATAATACCTGGGAGATTTTTGTTCGACACGAACCTCTGATTTTGTCATTCAGAATAAGGAATAAGAGCGTGTAATTAGCATTCTAAACGAAATGAACTACAATAGCTCGCAGGGACACAGAGTCCGTTAGTTTTCTTTTGTATTGGCGACGCATGTGCGCACGCTGTCCAGTTTAAAGATATATAAATCAGATGTCTTGATTTGCAATAAGGCAAACTTTTATAATGCCGTGTATCCCTGATATTCAGTGACGCACGGTCTGTGTTTTACATCACTTTTGTACTTTGTACTTTGTACTACGATCCAGTAAAATCTTTGTTTTTTTCTTATTTGTTATTTATTTCTAGAGCTCCATTCCATCAAGCTATGAAGGGTAAATTGTAGTCCGGTTTTGTTACTTTTGCTTCTAATTGATACACTGAACAGTACAAAAACGTCATGAAGCTCATGAAGCGGTTGAACACTTTACATCAGCAAGTCCATATTATTGAGCCCTTTCATAAATTTCAGGATGTTCTTTAGTCTTGCACAAATATTTAGTTTCATTTACAAGTATAAGGCGAAGACTCAGAACCACTGTCTCTCTAGATCTCGGCTGTTATGAAAACAATAGCTGGTGAAAAACCGGTTACAAACAGAAATTTTCTAGTTTGCTAGAGTTAACACAACAAAACAACCCTGTTATCGAAAATTATTATCAGTCAATTGTAAGCAGCTGAAATCGGCAAAACACATCCGGGATTTCTTTTAAAGGGCTTGTAGAATAAGTACAATAGGACGATAAAGCGATTAGATATTCAGGCAACAAAGTATAATTAGGTTTCGTTCACTTATTAGAAAAAAAGATCAATGCTTTTGTTAAGTGTTTTGGTAAACAAAAGAATCACTTTATTTATTTATAGATAAGAAAAAAATCTTGAGCTTGGGTTTCCGCCTCGCTTTATCGTCAGTGAAATCGACGTTGCGCAAAAAAAGAAAAGAGAAAATCGGATTTACGATGTGATACGAGGTGGTCGACGGGTATCGGCCAGTCGATACGGTATCATTGCACGTTCTCTAAACTGTAAGTGGTGAAATATTTTACTTAATTATTTAATTCTTCATTGGCGCTTAATGAAAATGCAATTAATTTGATTTGGGCGACTTTTCATCACACTTAAACTTATAACTTTGAAAATAAATTAATATCTCAAAGATCATATATCTGGGTAAAACAGGCAACAGTTTTCTTTGAACTGGAAAAGGAAGTACCACGATTGATCAGTAGGGTGTAAAGGACACAGACAGCCACAGCTAGCAACTATTTGCCGTCCTATAACATTGCTCAATGGTTTTCGTTTCGTTTACAGATGCTTTAAACTTTGTACAAATGTGTACAATTAAGCAAGCTAGCATCAACATTAACGTTACTAAGGGCTAATTGCTACCAAATTAAACGTCGAAAAATGTAAAATAAACTTCTCGATTTGTTTGTAAATTTGCAAAAGTGCAAAGTTATAAATTAACATATGCGAGGAAATAAAGAATAGAATAATACAGAGTAGAGAAAGCTGTCCTAGTTAGATGATCATTTCGTGACCACTTATTGTTTTCGCAATAACGCTAGCTGTTCCTTTTTAGTTTTTTTTTTCCCTCACACTTATGTCCTTGATATATTAATTACAGACCACTTTTTGTTGTTGTTTTGTCTTGGTTCTTCTTTTGTGTGTTGTTCATTTTTTCTTGCCAACAATGTTTCGTACTTTTGCAGGAGAACTAGTACACGAAACATGAGGGCTCTACTCATCCTCGTGTTTGCCACGGAATTGGTGCTGACGAGCGCGAAGGGTTTGTTGCATGATATTTACTCGCCTTGCCCATGGTGGAAAGTGGAATGGTTATGAAACCCTTAAGACTCTTTTGCCACATGTTTTTGTTAACTTTTTCGGACCTGACCGCGAACATTGTTCAATGGCATTCCTATCATTTTGAACTTACTGACCAATAGAAACATCGCATTAAATTATTCAGTAACAATTGGTGAGCAAAAAATCAAAGGAGCGTTCACGGTCAGGGACCTTCCAACATAACCTATAGCATCATTTGTTTTCAACATGATGTTTGCCGGCTTTCATAACCAGTCTCCTCTACTAACTATGTCTCGCCCTACTGTTACAACAGTACTTCTTTATTAGTAAGATATTACGAACTCGAACTTTGTCTTTGTTTCAGGTTCCCTTGAAAGAGATGTACTGACGTATGTTAACGTTTTCCGTCATTTGCATGCTGTGGGGCCGTTGCTAACTGACGAGGTCATTCATGAAAGTGCGCAAAATGCAGCTAAAATGTTTATGGAGACAAAAAACAAAGACAAAGTGCCAATTCACCAATATAGCGCTAACTTTTGTACTTACACTGGATCAGAGGAAATTCTCGACCGCACCTGCGTTGTATCGTGGTATAGTTCCATGAAGTATTACACGTGGTGCCAGCCTAAAGCAGAAGGTCAAGCCTTACCATTTGTGAACATGATTTGGAAAGCCAGCAAAAAAGCAGGAGTTGGGTTAGCCAAGGGCTCTGACGGAACGTATTATGTGGTACTTTACATTGCGCTACAGGATGCAGATAATGTTGCTGTAAACGTACCGCCTGTAAAAGGTATCACTGTATCATCATCGTCATCATCATCATCATCATCATCATCGTCATTGTCGTCATCATCATCACCTTCACCATCATCATCATCATTATCTTCTCTATCACCATCATCATCATCATCATCATCATCAATTATCACCATCGTTATGATCGTCATTGTCGTTATCATTATCACCTTCACCATTACAATTATCATCATTATATTCTTCTTCTTTATCGTCACCATCATCATTATCGTTATCGTCATCATTATCATCATCACCATTATCATATTCATCATCATCATCAACATCATTTTGGCTACGGAATAGGCGGTCACATTTTTGCCCCCATTCCACCCCCTCTAAGGCTGTAGCTGTTACTTGTAGCACTTATACAATGTTGTACAATGTATAATCAATCCGAACCTGCAGATTAACTTATAAAAAGCCTTGTTTCAACACTTTGATTTAAAACTGCATGGCTGGTTGGATCTTGTCATCATTTTGTTGTTGTTGTTTTTGGTTTCTTTTTCCCTGCAAGAGTACCTTTTGAAAAAGCTATTACCTTTGATCTTAAAGAGGCAACATCACTCCGGAAGTATATTATAATTTTAGCAATCACAAATAACAAAATATCGATGTGTTAAGTGACTGACCGTTCTCAGAACCTTTAAAGTCCATTTGAATCTAACGGATTTCTTCGGCCTAAAAGATAAGAAACATTTCGTGATTCCTGAGCCCCTACTTTTATTTGACACATTCGTGACGTCAGTCCGAGCTCTAATTTGACATTGGTGGCAAGCAGATCTGCCGAAAGTTTCCACGTTATTATATTAGTTCTCCAGACCTTTCTCCACACAAAAGACAAGTCCGTAAATTACAGTGATTAAATTTGCTTTGAATTTAAGAACTGCTTTTTTATCTTTCTGTTTGTAGTTGTTATGGAGGCGAGCCCTAAAGGTAAGGTCTTCAAAAGCAAAATTAATTTGAGAATTCAGGCTATACTTCAATTATTTTTGGAGCTTAACTTTTGCATTTTGCATTTCAGCAAACTGTCCACCGGGTTATTCACGATTTGATACTTCCTGCCTCAAGTATGAAACAACCGGAGTAACCTGGGACGAGGCCGTGACACGATGTGCATTAGAGAATGCGACATTAGCTTCGATACGAAATGCAAAAGAAGAGAATTTTGTGCGAGAACTACAGAGGAAAGCAGGATCAACTGTAGAGACGTGGATTGGTACGAACATTTAAGCTGCCTTATATTATTAGTATTACTAACAGGGAAACTAATTCGAAACAATTAAAGCTCAATAGTTGCCGTTTAAAATAGCAATCACTTTAATCTAACACTTATCAAAAAGTGGAGAAGAAAGCTCCTGGAAAAGTGTGGCCCTTTTTATCGTATTCCAAAGTACTGTGAAAGGACACAGGCAGATCGATCTAATGATTGTTCAACACACCTATAAAATAATCATTGACCAACTGGGAAACTGTAATGTACATTACTTAACGCAAATATCTCGACTTCGATCCCTGCAGGTGGATCAATTTTAAACTTTTCAAACGACGATTTTGATGTACGGTGTATACGCCGTAACCATTCCAATAAAAGCTTATCTTCTCCGGCGGTTTGGTAAAGTCTTGTAGTGAATTTTGATAGAGGTTATTCTTGGCCGCCTAAAGAAGGGGTTAAAATTGGCAACACAGGATTTTTGACGACTTTACTCAAGTAAATGATACCCTTGCAGGCCTGCACGATGCTGTACATGAAGGACGATTTAAATGGTTTGATGGGTTAAGATTTAAGCCTGGCGTCTGTGTTCCTGTGCATGCAAACGGTGGACACATGGAGAACTGTGTGGCATGGAGTATAGAAAAACCACAAGGCTGCTGGGAGGATAGACCCTGTAACGAGAAGATTCCTTTTACATGCAAAATACCAGTCGAAGGTAAAGCGTACTCTTACGCGGCTTGTCAATAATTCTCGTTAACATATCAAACTGCATACCGTATTTACTTGGGACAGTGCGTGCAAAACAGACGAAAAAAAATGAATTAGAAGGACGAATCTCGGTAACGTTTTTAAAAGCCATAGCCCATGAACATTGTGTGAGAGTTACGTGTTTTAATTGGAAAATTGAATATATTAATAGCTTTTTGTACTTTCAAATTTAAATTCTTTAACATATTTGTCCTTTTAGAGACTGAGAAGTCTTAAATTTTATTATGGTTAGTGATTCGTGATTTCAAAACATATTTTTAGGACAAGTAGATATTACCATTGTAACATACAGCTTTGGAGAATTAGTAACGTAAGTTATAGTTTGTCTCCAATTAGGAAGTTGTTTTAGGGACAACAAAATGATTCATTCCACACTAAATTAAGTTATCATTAATACTTAATTCGTGCTCTATGGTAACAGAAGTACTGTTACTGATCACAAATACAGGGCATCATTTCTCTCTCTTTATGCAGTTCTAATAATTATTCTGACATCTTAGGGTTATAAATTGTTCTTACTTATCTTCTCTTTAAAAAATTCCTTTTTATCAAAAAGGTAAATCGACTTACAGAACAGAGATTCTATTCAAGAAGTTTCGTTGGAGGCCTAATTATAAGAATAAAAACTCCAAAGCATATAGAGATCTGATAAACGGCATTAAAGTAACAGTAAGTGTCCAAATCGTTTTCAAAAATATATTTCTTCATTGCTTAATTGAGGCTATTAAACGCTGACTGATTTTTTCCATATTGTCTAAAGTTTAAAGAATTGTTCACCAGGAAGTCAGGAAAGAAGAAGGGAGGCTTTAGAAAAGTTAAGGTGAAAGGGATCAGGTATTTTTTTTGCTTTGTTTGTTTGTTTTAAATTTGTTTTGTCTTGTTTTGTTTTTCGAGTATTATAGTTAAGTGAAGGAATTTAACCTGGTACGTTGCCACGGTCTTTTCGTTTTAATTTTCTATAATGGTTAAGTTAATTTTTTGCTTGGCCATAAACCAAAAAAACCAAAAATTGTGGGTCTCAGGTGATGGACATAAGTCATTAGAGCATTTATTGATAATTTGAAATGATATATTGCGTACTCCGGTTTCTGCAAAAAGTGGGATTATCTGAAAAAAGGTGTAATGAGAATAAAAAACTAAGCTAAAACACTTAAACTAAAACATAAAAGAGCTTATAGCAGAACAGTCCGTGCCATAACAGGCAGGTAATTAAAATAAACAAAAACAATTTTCACCTGCCTACTGTTAACTCCAGACACACACTTGAATATCATTGCAGAAACAAGTTATAATGATCATTTTTCTGGAGTAGCCTCGCACGTAAACTGCGGTACTGAAATACACATTTGAAGCTCTCCTTGTGACCACTCTCATAATACGAGTTCTAGTTGCAACCACTTTAATTTTAACGACTTCCTGGGATGGGTGGTTGCTCACGAGAGCTTTGTCGAGGCCCTGCCAGGGAATTGGGGAGGGGGAGGGGGTCCCATGTCGCCGGTCTGAATTTTAAAACGTCTCGTGTCGGCGTTTATAAATGCTTGTCGCTTATTCTGGGCTTTGCCGTCACTGTCGCATTTTGGCTGAGAGAGGTTGTCTCTTAGAGCGATTTCATTTTACGCGCTGTCGCCACTTTTTGGGCCATGCCGCTTGTCGGAATTTACCCTGGCAGGGCCTCTTTTTCGCTAAGTAATATTTAAATCTAAAGTGTTCTCCGTTTTTCTTCTCTTTTCAGGGCAATATCTTTTAAAGGACGGTAAGTTTAAGGCTGTCTCTTCTTCATGTCACTTATATATCACATTAAGGTGTAACGGATAAATAGCTGAACTGAAACCTTAATACAGCTCACTTTTCATTTACAAAGGAAGTACGGTATTACAATTAAATAATTTCACGATTACTGGCCCATAGTTCACGGTAACGGACTAATCAATCATGATTTCCTTTTCCGTCAAACAGGCCCGCTGGATTAGGGATAGCCATTTCTGTTAAATTCAGGTCCTTCAACGCCGACCCAACTCTCAGATTTCAGAAATTTTTGCGAGGTTCCGAGAAGCTTTTAAGTATGGATATTGACAAACCAGGTATGGTTTTATTGTTAAAGATTGACTAGAAAATTAATGAAAGTTTAAAATCCACCTTCATTACATTTCGTATACGTGAGTCGAATGTGGTAAGACCGGCGTGATGTCTTATTTTGCAAGTAGTTAAAGTTATTCAAGCATATTCCTAGTCTCTGCATTTACAATTTTTCAAAAAACACCTTCATTATAGGAGAAGAAAATAATACAATATTTGTCCTTATCATTATTGCCGTCGTCGTCGTCGCCATCATCATCATAATCATAAGAAGCATTTCTTGTGCTAAGGTTTATCAATTCACAACTATTTTGCGAGTATTATAGATTTTGGATGCCTATAAATAGAAGACGGAGAATCTAAGAGTGTAGCGGTCGTTTGAAGTCACGGATTCATACACAATGCTTTTTTATTTATATTTTGCAGATAGAGTACAAGGAAAAACAGGTACGCCGGGTGATGTCGGTTTATATTTAAACATCTTTTAATGTAATTCTTGCAATATTTTTTAAAGAGAGAAAAATTTCTTTACGCCTGCATGAGACTCATACCATCTCTTACCACTATCACCTATTGTTATTACCTAACGTCCAACCTAACATCTAGAAAACCTATCTTGAGAATAAGAATGTCTGCTCGACTAAACATCTCTTTATTTCGTTATTAATATTTTATTAATGTTTGGTCACAGTCATCTAGATGGAGTCTCGGCTGTGTTCGAAAAGCTAGAGACGACTTTTTTGTTCTCATCAGGTAAAGCAGGAGACTACTGCTACAGCACATGCACTCAAAGGCACACTTGCACCCCAATCTACCAGCAGCCCTCAACATACAGCTACCACCCAGTATACAATGTACCCGCTCCGCCACCATATTCGCCGCAGCCCTACCCTGTTTCCTTCCCAGGGAGTGTGCAGACAGTCACAACAACATCTGATCCATACCCATCAACGTGTCCAATGTCGTGTACCCAACACCCGACACTGGATTGCTACATGCAATGTAATGATGAGTGTTGTGAGAAAAGAGATGGGAAAAGGAAGGGGAGACCCAATCGTCTGCGTGCTGCTAAAGATGTGCATGAGGACTTTGGAAGGCTTGATAATCTGATCGACAAAGTGACAAATAATGGGCCACCTGCCAATTCTCTACACAATTTTAATGATGAGACAGATGATAAAGGTGAAAATGCAGAAAGTGTTATTGACAACCTCGAGACAAACATTAAAAACCTGGGAGTCAATTTCGATGAAGAACAGGCGAAACACCTAAGCAGCCAACATAATCAGAGAGATACAGCTGAAAATACAAAAACCACTTCCAGCTTAACGGAAACGTCTGATGTTACAGAAACTAAAGCCGGGAGGATGGGGCTCGATGAGAATCATGTCATTAGATACATGCATAAGACGAAAAAGTCACATGATATGATTGACGATGACCAGGAACCCAGTAATTCAGATGAAGAGCCCGTAAACAATTTCATCACTACAAAACAAACCAGCAAACACTATGAAGACGAGAACGAAGAATATGCACCACTGGAAAATGACAGTCCATTTAGGAATAATGAAGAAACTATTCCATTGAGCCAAGAAGCAATTGGTATGCAAGATGAACAAAAAGCCATGGATGACAGGAATGAAGACAATAACGAAAAAAGTGATATTGGCCCGGAAATTGAAGTCGACAATTCTGAAACCCTCAGCGGTGAGAACGACGATGAAGATGACAGTGATGGAACTGCGAACGATTTAAATCTGGATCAAGATCCTCCCAGGCCGCTTGAAGAACATTCCGTGGATCCTTCGGATGAGCTTTTGGATGAAGAAGGAATTGATGACGTTGGCAAATTTGGAAGGAAAAGAGACAAGGTTTCACGTGGAAAGAAAAATATAAAGCAAGCACTAACGGAACTTTGATATTCTTATTAACAAACGTCACATTCGAAAATGATATACGCTCTTTAAATTTCACAAAACCACAGACCTGTAAAGCTCAAATAACCCTATATTGTCGTCCAGTAGAGGTCAAAAATACCGGATTTTTTAAAATTATTTGTGGCACTAGTTAAATAATACTAGAGTTTTCTTCCAGGGCTACTCATGCATTCGTTAGAGCGTCACATCGCGTCCTAATGAGTAGATTAGGAAAAAGCATCAATCCAAGTTAAACCCAGTGTCCAAATAAAATGTTCATATTGAGAATAAGAAAGTGGAAGGAATAAAAATACAATAAAATTAAATCAAGTGAACGTTTGTATGTATATGTGCAAGTAATGATAGTGAGGGGATGGTTATGATGATGGTGGTGTTAGTGGTAGTAGTGGTGCTGCTGCTGGTGGTGGTGGTTGTAGTTGTGGTGGAGGTGGTCCTGTTGGTAGTAGTGCGGCTGGTAGTGGTTGTGGTGGTGGTAATGGTTTTAGTGAAGGTTAAGTTATCGTGGTAGTGGTCTTAGTGGTGCCAGAGGTGGTAGTTATGGTTGTGGTAGTGGTGGTGGCTGTGATTGTTGTGGAGGGGGTAGTGGTAGCAATGATTGTGGTTGTGGTTGTGGAAGTGGTGCTGGTGGTTGTAATTGTGGTGGTGTTAGTAGTGCTGGTAATGGTGGAGGGGGTTGTGCTGGTGTTGAAGGTAATTATTGTGATACTGGTGGTTGTGGTGGTTATGGTTGTGATGATGGTGGTAGTGATGATCAATATGATAATATGATGATGATGACAATGTCTTTATTTGAACTTTTTTTCACTTAATACATAATTGGAATGCTCTAAATGAAAGAAGCATCCATTTCAATCGGCTACTAATGCAAAGTTAAATATGTCTTACGGAAAATGTATTTAAAGAGCACATTCACAGACTTTAAGACCGGTTAATGTTCATAGATCGCAAAAACTACGCCTTTTCGAAAAATATAACATATTAACACTAACATACAATAGAGCTTGAGAACCTCAAAATGAAAACATACTTCAAGCCCAGTTTCATCAAAGCCTACCAATAAAAACTTCCAGCAAATATTTTAACGAAATGCATTAAATTTTTGCAGGCATAAGAACTATCACGGGTGGTTCCATGATTTTCTAATGGGTGGTGGCTTGATTACAATCGGCCAGCAAACCATACGTTAATTAATTTTAAGTTGTCCTTAATAACCTAGTCGGCCAAAAGTGAAGACGCCGTGATTCGTCTAGGATGCGGCGCCACAAATTTCTCACAAACTACACTTCGTTTGATGGTAACTGCATTTTCATTCATGGCGATGACGACCAAATCTGAGAGTCGTTCAGTTGCCATTGTATTGAGAATCCAACTACGGATCCTCCGAATACAGGAAAATAACCTTTCCGCGTCAGTGCTCCCCTTAGCAAAACGGCGAGATTTCTTTAGATGTTCCCTCACTTTTGGGAAGAAGATGTTGTCTGAATTGCGTGTTTTGAACATCTAAAAAATGGTATTATTGACCATTTTTAATGGATTTTTAACGTAAAAAGGTCACCTAGAATTTTCGGGAGCCTTTTTTCTGGCTGAAATTTTCGAAAAGGTACGTTTTGATCGCTATAATTTTCGGATCACAAGACTTTCAGCTAGGAAATCCGAACAGATGAAAAATTTTTAGGGGATAAAAATATGCCTATATCTATCTCTTAAATACCAAAATACTTTAACAATGCTGTGTTTAAGCGGTTTTGAAATATATTCTCGTTGGGTGCCCCTGAGTAGTCAGCTCATGTTTTGACTTATTAGTAGTAAAATAAGCTAGTGGAATTACAGGTTACAAAAGCAAATCAAGTTTAAAATAAACAATTTTACCGAAACGTCCCCTTTTTGTAGATAATAAATATATTAATGTGGTTCCAGCAAAAGGTAGGACAAATGGATGGTAGTCAATGAAATTTGGTGAGTTCCCTTCTTCTTAGGTTTAGATCTATTCATGATCACTTCAAATCTATATTGTTGGTTTTCTCAATACGTTTACACTAAACTGTATTCCTTACAAGCTTTCTTGCTCGCCGCGAGTTCACTCTTCTTCAGGTCCCAGTAATATGACTTCATAACTTGGAAATGATATCACAATTACGAAACCGTCTGGTCAGCGTTTCTGTTCAATTTTGTCCCTTACACATAAGATAAAATGTTTTTTTTTTGAGGAGTGAATGAAGAAAATGGAGTGCGCAAACATCAAATACATTTGTATTTTTTCGTATCTGCAGCAGATGAAGATGTGTTTTGAGAGAGTGAAAACTAATTCGAAGAAACGTTGGAAACAGATTTATACACAGAAAATAGAACTCTTTAAGTTGTCTTGCAGCCCTTAATCTTACGGAGCCAGATTCTGCGAGATTTTGTTCAGTTGCTCTACCTTTTCCAATGGATACTAAACTTTTACAGAAAAGATCGACAGCACATACTATATCTCTATTGTTCCTTATCTTTAATCGAGAGTACTAGTGGCAAAATTAAATAAAGGATTCATCTTTGTTACTTTCCGTTAAAGTACCATATCAGTTAAAGAAACTTACCTTTAACTCAACTTCAAATCATTGTCGGATAGATTAAACTGTGGGATAAAATGGCTTTTTCGTTTCATTTCGTCAGCGTCAGTTCATCAGTCTCTGACACCTGTAAGTTCGACGCACACAACATTACAATTTTTTTACCCGAATTCTATTTTTTTCACATCAACTAAAATTCGACAGGCCTGTCTAGCAAAGCACTTTGGAATTAGATTTTAATTGGTTTGCAGACAATAAATAAAAAGTCCAAGGTTAATAAGAGAGTCGGTCGGCTCGCCCTTAATGTATCTTTCCACAGTGATCTCACAATTACAAGTCAATTCAAAATGAGTCTTCCCAGTTTAACCATATTTTTTTGTAAGACACCCTGACAGCCAGCTTAAGTGTACGTAAATTACTTTACACCTATAATCGCTTAAAAATATTCTTTTAGCCGATCTTGAAAAAATAGCCATTAGAGAGCTTAAGGCACCGTTTATATGAAGTAAACCTGTCCCGGCAAACGGTCACCTCCCAGTTAACTTAGCGAGCGTTTTAATATAAGAGAAAAACGTTGACACCTTTGCTCAAGCCAACAGAGCTCGCGCATGCTCTGATTGTCTCGCTTTGACCAAGTTCATCCGGCTGGGCGAGCCAAAGTGTATATATGGAGAAATGGAGAAAATCTGGCACGACTAGGAGTGTTATCCTACCATGGAGAAAGGCGGACCCAGCTGGACGGGTCACCCGTCTAGCCGAGCCATCTTTCTGTTTTTCATGTAAATGGTTCGTTTTGAAAGGAGATGTATGAAACTTTGACTCACCTAAAAGCCCGATTAGGCGAGTGACTCTTCTATCTGTGACAACTTTCAGGTCTCCATACAGGGTTTAAGTAGCCTGCGGGCAAGCTCTCCGGGACGCTCTTCCTTTTCCCGCCCCGCCGCCAGAGAGGCCCGGAGAGCTTGCTGGCAGGCTAGGGTTAAAGAAACCATAACGACGCCGACAACGAGAGCGTCAAATAAGAAAAGAAAACAATAACAAAACAGGCTCTCCACTTGCGTCTCAATTAATTTTATATCGTACATTTCTTCGACGATTAATGTGATATTTCGAGAAGTATGTGAACACATACGACGAGTAATTGTTTCTTTCTCTTCTATTTTTGAATTCGCTTGCAGTTCTTAAGAGTTAAACTTCAGAAAAATTCGCCTACTACACTTTTTTGCAATTTAAGCGCCCGTACGGAAGTCAAATAAAAGATGATAAACTTTCAAAGAACGCAAATTCTCTTCTTGTTGTTGTTTTTGACGTTTTCAGTGCTGTCGTCGTCGTGGTTGCTAAAGCTTCCTGAATGAAAACATTTCATTAACTGAGAAGAATACGGTGGCGTTATTCGTTTTTTCGCGATCAAACAGAGAGTATGAATCTCAGATTCGAACCCATGCCTTCGGGAAACAGTCGGATGCTCTTGGCGCAATGCATCGCAGAGACTTGCATTGTGGTGAGCTAGAAAAATTACCTAGTAAGGTTATTTTGAATAGTATGTCCCGTGCTCGTGACATGTTGATCATATCATTACTCATTTCTGTTAAAATTTACCATCTTTTTTTTTATTTATATTAACGCACTTTCCTTGGCATTAAATTATGTTCTTTTTAGGTGACGATGAGGTCAATTATCTTTCTGCTAAGTTTTCAAATAGCCATCACATTTCTTTATTTCAAAGAGAGCGAAGGTGAGTTATTAAATTCCTTAAATGATTCAACGCGCGCTTTGAAACTTTTTTTTTTCACGCCGAAGCCTTTGCCAGTGTGTTGATTGTGAGACTTTTGGAGTTATTGGCCACTTCAGTTACTATCATTGGTAGCACTCCTTAACGTGTAGACTCAGCGACAAATAGCAACGCAATTATAGCAATATCTGATTGACATTAATCATAATACTCTAAGGCAGCAACTAGTTCTCCCGGCGGTTAAGATTATTTCTCTCAAAGCATCCAAAGATGTTGTATTAGCCTCCATCATACCCATGCCAGCCTATTCTAAGTACTTATTTTCAAGTAGGTCATACACTTTATTAGCAATTTATTACAATTTACTTATCTTTACACCTTTTTTAGGGACTTTGTGTAAACGTCCAGTAGACATTGCTTTTGCAATAGATGCCTCAGGTAGCGTTGGTCACTGGGGATTCTTTAAAGAGAAAGACTTTGTAAACAGAGTTGTGCGCAGATTTGGCATCTCCCGGACAGGAACGCATGCTGCGGTCATAGTTTACAGCACAAAGGCGCGCGTAGAAATACCATTCACTAAATACAACAACTACGCGAGATTTTACCTTGCTGTGCGGCGCCTTCCCTACTACAGGGGGGTAACAAGAATTGACCTAGCCCTGAAAACAGCAGCCCAGGATGTTTTTTCAACAGAAGGAGGAGCGCGGAGAAATGTTCCTAAAATTTTGATAGTGATGACAGATGGATATCAAACTCGTACGACAGACGCTGTTCCACTGGACAAGGCAGTGCTGCCCCTGAAAGCAATGGGAGTAAAAGTGTACGCTCTTGCCATAGGACCCTACACCAAGGATTATGAACTGAGGTTGATCGTCGAGAAAAAAGAAAATGTTTTTCGTTCCAACTCCTTCTCTGGTCTTGCCCATGTAATAAGACGATTGGCAACAACGACGTGCATAAATGGTTAGTGTGAAGACACTGTCTTTCTTCTTTAACTGTTATTCGCTCACGGCTCAGAGAATCTTGCTGAATAATCCACATGACAAACACACTTAGATGGTTCTCAGGGACCAAAAGAAACCCATTAAAATTGTTTAGATTTATCTCTTTTTCAGCAATATGCTCTCGCATTTAAAAAACACGCTATTGACACCAGCCAAACTGATAATGCTAAGATTTTTTTTCTCATGTCTTATGGATCGACACCTGGTTCTTTATTTTAATGTTTCATTTCTAGATGAGGTATGCTTTGGCTTTATTGCATGAGTGAAACTAGGGTGAAAAAAAGTTCCCTTCCTTTCCGTAATTTTTTCAATTTAATCCTGAGTGAAAGAAAAACAGTGAACCGGTATATAAATTTCAACGCGATTTTTTCTTTATCGAGAAAGAGATCGACATCGTCAGATGGAGAGATGCAAAACGAAAAAAATTCTTGCTTCCTTGAATGTCAAAGAAACCTAAGCTAATGAATGAAACCTCCATGCGTCCTCTGTACTTATTAATAAATTGTATAAAATGCCATCATGTTTGACGCCAAAAGCTTGCATTAAATCTAACTCGGTATTTATGTATTTACAGCTCTCCCCAAGGCGTTTGCAATATATCCTTTGAATCAACAAAAAAATGGACGGGATATCAGTGCAAACAGAGCTCCAACGGGTATTCTAAACTCAGTTAGAAGTTCATTGGGACCTTACGGGCGACCAGGAGGATCGTTTTACTTAAGGGGCACATCTGACAGCTACATCGACTTTCCAAACTATCCTCGAGGGAAACTTGACACACTCAGATCAATTTCTATCTTCCTGTGGATATATCACAAAAGTAAACCTGGTCCTATCGTCAACTATCGAAGGAAAGGATATGGTATTGGGCTTTGGTTGTCTGGAAAGCCCGGAATGCGCAGACTAAAGGGTCGTATTTACAGTCGTCGCTATTTTTATAGGAGAAAAATCTACTCTTTTAAACTTCAGCCCAGGAAATGGCACTATGTAGGGCTTACGTACGATAATAAAAGAGGCGTTGCCGTATTGTGGGTCAATGGACGGGTGGTACGTAACATGCCAACTGTTTTCCATCTATACTTGCTTTGTCTCTTACTTTGGCATAACCTTTAAAGACTGTACAAATGTCAAATCAAAAACTAAGTACAGATCTGAATAGTTGTATAGGTTTGAATAAATTACCTGCACATTTCAAAATGTTTTTAGATAAATGCATATATGACTGAATGAATAGCAAACAAACAAAAGTCTGATCATCTTGACACTCTAATAATTAACATAAAAACATTTCTTCCTATTTTTTTTTTCCTGAGAGAGCGGGGGAGACACTATTTTTGGAAGCAGATGGTTCTACAATCGCCCTTTTCTCTTTCCTTTATAACACCACCACGAACAACTTGAAAGGCAACATAAGCTTTCTTAATACGTGACTTTTATCGAACTATTTAATGAATCAAGATAATTTAAAAGATTAAAAACACTGCTCATTCAAAAGAGTAGCCATTGTAAATAGTTTGTCTCTCAATTCAAAGCACGATGAAATAAATGAATTCAGTTTTTAAGTGATCTTAAAATTATTTTTCAGTAGAAATCATATAAAAGGTGTGATTATAAGGTCCTCAGTAACAGTCAGTAGTCCTAAAAATGGGAATTAATAAGTCAGGCCGTTTAAAAATGTGACTGTAACAGTCAAGTAGTCGAAGCCATGACGATACTTTTAAATAAAAGGAAAATGACACTCAAAATGGATTACACTGCATGTATTCCAGGATGCAAGAGCAAAAATCATGTGCTTCCATCTCAAAACCGGATTATTGGACTGACATTTCAGATTAAGAGAACAAATGTTGCAGTATTACATTAACCGTACCCCAGTTTTAAGATAATTTCCATTTCATAAAAATCATTATTTGTTAATTTCAATTTTTTCCAGGTTTCTCGTACAAGAGTGGGTCATATATACCTTGCCACCCAACATCCAGTTCGTATAGGCGCAGTAAAGGGCATACCACAGTACTTTAGAGGTCGTGTGACGTGCCTCCAAATATATGGCATGGCTTTGAATCCCAGTCAAATCGCAACAATAAAGAAAAAATGCGCCGCGAGAGACCGTAAGTACTTTGTTGCAGCAACAGCAGCAGTAGTAGTAGTAGTAGTAGTAGTAGTTGTTGTAGTAATAGTGGTAGTAGTTACTGTAGTATTAGTGGTGGTGGTGGTTGTGGCGATAGTAGAGGTAATATAACTTGCATGTAGTAGTAGTGATATTAGTTGCAGCACATGTAATAGTTTGGTTGTAACGTAAGAAAGAAAGTTATTAGCTAAGAAACAGAACCTGAACGTAAACCTTCATTACATACATGTAATTATCCTCAATAAAAGGGAGTCGCCAAAATTTTCTATTCTTACAAGTGAGATTAATTGTAACTGCATTTTACAAAACAAATAATTTAACACTATTCCCATTTGGAAAAGGACTTAATTGCAAATTCCAATTCTGCAGAGAAAGATCCTTGCCTTTCCAGTCCCTGTAAAAATGGCGGAAGCTGTATCGTTGACGAAGACGAAAAAACTGGTTATCGCTGCCGCTGCAGACCAGGATATCGCGGTCATAGATGTGAAGGTAACATGTCACTTTGTTTAAATAATGACCGATCGCGAGCGAAAAATTGCTCGGACAAAAAAAAGGCCTAAGTACGCAATAAGCTACCTGATTTGAATAGAGAGTCTTCACATGACGCCACGGCGGCCATATTGGTGTTCCAAAACAATGAAACGGCAGTCATGCTGGTGTTCCATGCTAATCTCCTGTGGGAGTTGAACTCTTTTCTTAGGTAAACGCATTTTTTCCCAATAAATTTGCATAGATGCTACCCACCTGAGTGAAAACGCTCTATTAGAGGACAGAGAGAATGGATTTTTACATGTTGGTTTTGTTCATTGTTGTTTTTGGCTGCAGCTACACTCGTCCATGATATTCAGTTGATGGGCAAAAACATTATATAAATGTGTTATTTCTTGAAAAATTTTGGGTTTATCATTTCAATGAAATAACCACTCAGAATCGTCGAAATTTGTCTCCTTGTTTTTACAGTCAAGCCACCAAGACCAACTGCAAGACCGACTGGAAGACCCACAGGAACACCAACCACAAGATCAACAACAGGTAAAGAACAGGCTTTAAAATCAGTACCATAATTCCGTTTCCTAGAATTCGGTTGATCAGCTTCTCCAAATCAATCTGTGGAGAATTCAAACAAAATTTAGTAAAACTGTTTACAAACAAGTGGTTGGACGCATGTCAAGAGTAGATAACGTTAATGTTAATTAGACATTAACAATTAGTTCATGCGTCAGCGTGCGTATGTGGAGATATTGAGCACGCGCGAAGTTTGGAGAGCACGAAAGAGGCGTAAGAGTTGCGCGAAGCGCAGCCGAGTGCAACTCTAGCCTCTTGAGTGCTCTCCAAACTTCCCAAGTGCTCAATATCTCGACATACGCACAGCTGCAGCATGAACTAATTGTTTTATAACATTATCAAAGCGATCAATGCAGCAGTTAACTGAAAATTTTATTATTGTAGGGCGCGCTCAAAGCAGTACGCGTCAATGTTTACGTGAATAAATTTTTTTTCCCTTACAGTTAATCTTATGTTTTTATCCTGAAACTGAGAGAAAGTGCACTCTAAAATGATTGTAAAATCCATATTTAGGTGGCGGAAAACTATTAATTTACCGAAAAATTGTTATTGAGAGAAAAAAACTTTGCAAAGAATGATCTCACGCCATAGCCCGCACAGCTCGCGGAGATGACAACAACAACAACAACACTCACCTCTTTTCCTTACTATCGGTTAACAAATTCAAACGTTTCCTCTGAAATTTCCTTATAAAACACATGGTAAACGGTTCATTGTCAATTGCTGAGTTATGGATACACTCAGGACACTCAGGATTGCTAAGCTCACAACAACTCGAGGAATTACGAATAGTTTATTGACGTCATCAGCGTGCTCAGTAGGAATATGAAGCACGCTCGCGCTATTGAATTTGATTAGGCGAATTTTCTAGCTATGTTATAATACAATTTATATTTAAATTCGTATTACCAAAAAGATAGAGTACATGGTGAGTTCGCTAATTGCCAAATGCCGCGCGCATATGACTCTGTTTGATAAACAAATCAATCAGATTCTTATATTGTAGGTTTGTTGATTTAGTTTTTAATGCGCATTAGTCATTTCAAGGTTAAACAAAATTCGCTCTATCAAAGCAGCCGTTACTTTAGAAGCTCAATTGAAACTGCACTATCTGTACTTCCTTGTAAGGTTCACCTGGTAGAATTGTCAGTCCAACTCCAAGTGCAAGGCAAACTAGTACCCCATCCGGCACACCAGGAGTTACCACACCTGGAGTTACAACAAATATACGTAGGTATCCTTTAAGCCTTTTAGTCCAAGAGAGTGACCAACGTCGATATACTCCTAGCAATATCAGCACATTATTTAAAACTGAATCATTGGATGATACAACTCTAGAGCTTTGATTGGCTTAGCCATCATGTTATATGAGCCATTATTATTCATTCAAAATATTTCCCCGATTCTGATTGGCTAAAAGCAAACGCATAATTTATCATAACCAGCTACTGATGCCCAATTTTGAAGAATTTTGCAATTATTGAACCGTTGATGTCAAAAGTGCAGCTTCTTGCTGGTTAATGCACCACACAATAGCAACACAATATTAAAACGCGATCAAATAAAAATAATAACATTGCCGCTTTATTGTATAATGGTAGCTCATTGAGTGCCGTTTGGCATGACTTGATTTTAGCTGGCTTCAGAATAGAAATTGTAGAGTACATCAACCGATTCCGAAGGCTTCATGGAGCAGGTCCTCTCATTCTCTCCACTCGGATTTCCGTAGCAGCGCAGAACTGGGCACAAACGTTAGTCGCAAGAGGTACTACTTCAATTGATCCAAATACAAGTTATGGAACGAATGTTTTCACCAGAGTTGGAACTCAAACAGGATTGGCTCAAACGGTCGTAATCACGTGGTATACATCTGTCAAGTATTATGATTGGGCGAGGCGAAAGCCAAAAGTGCTTGCGTTGCCTTTCATTCACATGATATGGCTTTCAAGTAACTTTGTAGGCGTTGGGCTGGCTAGATCACCATCTTCAAAGTTCTATGTTGTTGTCTACTTTGATCCCATGCCGGGAAATAAGGACCCATTACTGAAGGACAACGTTCTTCCCTATACAGGTAATACATAGATTTAGCCAGGGCTAAAAGCGAAGCTCTGGTTAATAATACATAAAAACAAAAAAATTAAATCGTGTAACGCTAAAGTAGGACAAAAATGAAAATGGCTTTAAGACTAATAGATCTAATTAGCAAAAAAACAAATTGCACGTGCAGCACACTTTTTCTTCTAATTAGCAAAAAACAAATTTGCACGTGCAGCACACTTTTTCTTCTAATTAGCAAAATACAAATTTGCACGTGCAGCACGCTTTTTTGACTTTCCCTTGCCGTTGTTTTGCACAACTACAACGCTGTTTTGTACGACTAAAACGTCAAAATTCCTAGTTACACATTATTTTTTTGGAGGAATTGTCGTATATGCTTACCCAATATTTTGTTTCCTGTGTTCATGTTCGCTTTTATTTTTCACTGTCGCTCATTTTCGCCTTGCTGGCCGCTAGCATTTCTCATTTTCTCACCGCTGCTTTGAATTTCCATGTTTTTCTTCCTACGAAATTCGTCTCCTTTGTTTTCAATAACTCGCTCTGGCTCTTTGTCTGTTATCCACGTTAATGTAAACCTAAAAAATAACGCCGAAAAAGACACGACTTTGTTGTTTTTTTTTCTTTCTAAAAGTCCGGGCTGCCATGTGATTTCCTTCCAAATATAACCTTGAGTTGCATTTGGGTTGCCATACCTGTTGATTGAGTTATTTTACATTGGTATGTCTGTGGTGCGGACGGACGGTCGGGCGGTCGGTGTACGGTCACGTGATTACCAAATTTTCTCGGATGGGTAGATTACCACATTTTCTTAGCTATGGGGCTTCGCGCAGCGCGTAGAGCTCCGCTATTATGCTTATCTTTCAGCTTCAAAACTATCTATTATATAAACCTCACACAAGCTTCTATGGTTCTACTACTTAGTAAGGAAGGAATTTATGCTTATAAAAGAGTTAAAATCTGACATCATGCTGTCAAATTGCGGCAAACTTGCCTCCCACCATATAAACGCCTGTAAATTTTCGCAACTTTGGGGAGCTATATGTTCTTTAGTTTTCTACAAATCACTTTTAAACTTGGCAGTTTTACTTATTTTAACGCGCTCTTTCCATTGAATTTAAAGGATTTTCCCTAACTGGTCCATGTCAAAAAAAACGTGGAAGGATCTTTTGTACCGCACTGGCGTATGGTCTTAACTTTGTAGGACTTTGCCTCAATATTCGGTAACTAGTACTCAGCTGCATAGAATATTGAAGAAACGATGTTCGCATAACGCCAGGTTAAAACGTTTTTTTTTCGGGGTGAATTCTTTTTGTCCTACTTCATCAACTGTATTTGTTTGTTTGTCTGTTTATTTATTTTATTTCTGCACGATATTAAAACCTATTAATTAGTGGCGATCTTTTTCATTTTCAGACGTATATATTTTGATGCAAAATGGTAAGTGACCTCTGTTACCACTACTAAAATTATTTTCATCAGCATTATTCTCAGTAGGAGTACTAACAATTTGTAATTACTTATATTTCAAATTATCAGTGTACTGTAACCCGGGCTATAAAAAGCACGAAGGCACGTGTTACAGGTTTCACACGGACAAGCAAACTTGGGATGGGGCCCTGTTTCAGAGTGCCAAGGATAACGCCACCTTGGTGTCCTTTCACGCGTCTCACGAGGAGGCGTTTGTACAGACGCTGGTGCCCCCCGGAAACACAGGATTAATTTGGACCGGTTTAAATGACAGAATAACTGAAGGGACGTATACCTGGTCTGACGGTACAAGCGTGGAATACACCACTTGGAAAGCGAATGAACCAACCGGAAAAAAGGAGGACTGTGTAGGCGTGGAGGTGATCAGCTATGGGACTATGTCGGACGTTCCATGTACCGAGCCTCATTACTATGTATCTAGGCAGCCCCTTGAAGGTAACGATTTTGCATCCCTCGATAAAATCACTATCTCTACACTTTGACGGTATAACCAGTTATTGAAAGTGTGACCAGAGGAGGACAGACAAACAAAATTGAAGAAACGATATGCAATGTCATCTGAAAAGAAAGAACACATGTTCTAACCGCTAGTGAAAGTCCAGCCTTTTTATTGCTTGAGCAGAAATTATTTTAGCCTCAAAAGAGACAATAAGCCAGATTTAGGATTTCATAGAATCAGGTCAATTTCAAATTAATCGGTCGTGATGTTTTACATCACTAACAGCACGCCCTGGCTAAGGAACAGTACTGTTCAGTTCAATTATAGATCACAGTACAGTCGACTGGTTAATTTGAAGGAAAACAGGTACTAGGAATAAAGGAGAACCAGTGAACTTGTGACATATACTAATCATAAAATATTTCAACATTTTAGGCTTGATCACATATCGCACAAAACTTCAGTTTGTGTCGTTGCTGTGGACAGACGAGTTTGGCCAGTCAACCTCGCTCCTTTACATGCAACTCAAAGAAAAGATAGAATCACAGGTATATACTATCACAAATCTGAAACAAGAGAAGACAATATCTCATTATCCTCTCTTAGATACTCATGGTTTAGTGGTAAGCATTAAATGCTGATATAGATCCTTTTCGCAGGCGCTTTCACTGGGACTTTTAATGGACAGGCAACTTATCCACTGCACCTGATCTACTGTACAACTGCATACGCATGCAATTAATACCGTGGCTGGCAACGTTCATAACTTAGTTATCCCGCAATCAGAACACAAGATTTTACTATTTTCCACTTATTGCAAGCCATATTAAGGTGGCTCGACTGGATTTTTTGGGGTTGATACCTCCCAAGTTTGAGCATTAACTATGTCGGCATGAGTAAAGATATGGAAAAAAGGTTGCCACAACTGTATTATGTAAAGATGAAAATTTCTTATGATCTGGGTTTTATTGCAATCGGAGTCGCTATGGCAACTTAATAACGCTATTACGTTTTTCATTTATCTTTGAGTTTCTCTGTACCGGGAGTTTTTTGAAGAAACCACTTAAGGGAGCATGTACCTGCTATAATTGCCTCCATTATGGCAAAGTTTGAACAAATTCTATGAGAGCGTTTTCGAAATATTTTGAAATGCAGTTTTAAGAATCGTAAAAACAGTGAAATAGCATGTTAGCCACACAATTCGCTAATATTTTAAGAAAATGATAAGCTTTGGGAACGAGGCTTCATCTCATAGTGGTTTGATTCCATTGAAAACTGCATACAAAAAAAGAGGGGAATTGCTCTGGGCGATCGCGAGTAAGAAGAATGTTATTAACTTGCACTCAGCTGCTTTTGGTGCAGTTTTTGGACGTAATTTGGTCCATGCCTAAAAATTTCGCATTTTTCCAAAAACCGCTCGATAATTTTTTTTATAAATTCGACAATCTCGAGATCAATCGTCAAGAAATATTCCCTGCAAGTTTCAAGAACATTGAAAACAGGGAAGGCTTTTAAATAGGGGCTCAAATATAGCCAATTTTCTCCCCAGATTTTGTGTTTACAAGTGAGCGTCCTCATTATTCACTGGCATTGTTTTCAAGTTTCATATGCACGTGCACAACTAGCAAAAGATATAAATTTGCATCAAAAAGAACTCTCGAGTACTTTCCGAAGAAATATCAGGAATATGCTAATAATTGCCTTGTCGTCACTGATAGCAGTGAGAGCTGAAACGGTGAACGTCATGGCTCATCGTGTAGGATGGAATACTTATCTTACTCGGGTTATAACATCACAGAAACTCTCACAAAGAGTTGCTCTGATGTTATAATGTATCACTAATCTCTTTACCCGGTAATTAGCATATCCCGGAGTTTTAACCGAGGGTCCTTTTTGATGCAAATTCTATCTTTTTGCTAAATGTGCACGTGTATATGAAACTTGAAAACAACGCCAGTGAATAATGAGGAAGCTCACTGGTAAACACAAAATCTGGGGGAAAAATTGGTTATATTTGAGGCCCTATTGAAAGCATTCCCTGTTTTCAATGTTCTTAAAACTTGAAGGGAATATTTCTTGACAATTGATTTCGAGATTTTCGAATTTATAAAAAAATTTATCGAGCGGTTTTTGGAAAAATGCGAAATTTTTAGGCATGGGTCAAATTACGTCCAAAAACTGCACCAAAAGCAGCTGAATGCAAGATAATAACATTCTTCTTACTCGCGATCGCCCAGAGCAATTCCCCTCTTTTTTTGTATGCAGTTTTCAATGGAATCAAACCACTATGAGATGAATCCTCGTTCCCAAAGCTTATCATTTTCTTAAAATATTAGCGAATTGTGTGGCTAACATGCTATTTCACTGTTTTTATGATTCTTAAAACTGCATTTCAAAATATTTCGAAAACGCTCTCATAGAATTTGTTCAAACTTTGCCATAATGGAGGCAATTATAGCAGGTACATGCTCCCTTATGCGATTTCTTCAAAAAAACTCTTGGAACAGAGAAATACAAAGATAAATGAAAAACGTAATGGCGTCATTACGTTGCCAAGGCGACTCCGATTGCAATAAAACCCAGATCATAAGAAATTTTCATCTTTATGTAATACAATTGTAGTAACCTTTTTTCCATATCTTTACTCATACCGACGTAGTTAATGGTCAAACTTGGGAGGTATCAACCTAAAAAAATCCAGTCGAGCAACCTTAAAACTAACGTTTTGATCCTTTTTTTCTTTTTAGATCCTGGTAATTTTCAAAAAGGACCAAACATTTGTGTCTGGATATGTTGAAGAGTTCAGGTAGTCGGCACTCCATTTCAACTTTATTTATCTCGTATACAAGGAAAAGCGGTGTAATCAGTATAACTGACTTTGTAATTATTCCATTTGTTTTTTGCAGCAAACGCACAAGAACTCGATCGCAACCTACCATCTCACCGACCAAACCCGGAGTCCCAACCCCTGGTTATAAATCCACGTCGTCCGGACCTACATCGCTTACTCAGGCTACTGCTGCTACCACACCGACCTCAAGGAGGATCACCACTTCATCCACTTCGTATGTGGCTCTTTATTTAAGCATATTACAGAGATTTGGGTGTTAATTGGTTTATTAATTGGACCTAATATAACTGAAGTTGGCTGTTTTTGCACTCTTAGTAGGAATCCCACAGTGACAGTGTCACTCATTTTGAAGTTTGGTCCTGGTGTTGATCCGGACCCGACAAAACCGATTCAGAACCTATTAAGAAAGAATCTTGGGCGACTTCCAGCTCCAGTTAACCAGAAGACTCTTATCCAGTCTGTTAGAATTGTACATCCAGGTATGATTAATTTTTGTTGCCTCGAGTGTATTCCTCTGAGACACTATTTTTCTTTAACTTGCCATCAGAGCCGAAAAGTAAACGCGTAAGGGGGCAAAATAACTTTACTTTTTAGATATATTGATATTGATAATGATGATGATGATGGTCATGATGATGATGATGATGATGATGATGGTAAACTTTCAAATTTTTGAGAAAATTACACACAACTCATTTCTTAGAATCCCCACACTCTCGTAACAAATAAGGCATTGCGAATGAAAAAAGCCCATCTTATTGTATTTAGTCATCAATGCTTAGGGGGCAGTAGGAGTTCCATCATAAGGGAACCCGCATGATCGTGCCCATGTGACATCTGATTGAGGCTTTCATAATTGCTACTTTTGTAGCAATTTAAAGGTTATGAATTGTAAATATCATTTAAGATGGGAAATAGAAATTTTGCTGAAACCGTAATTGACCTTTGTTCATAGCTTTTGAATTTCAAACTAGTATGCCGGATCTGCATTGTTATATTTTGTTCCAGTAAACAAGCTTCAGATTTTGCATTTAATTCTGGTGACTACAAAGGGAAAAACTATATAAATAAAAAGTTAAGGGCATAAGTGTTTTTGTGTGTTTGCTACCATTTAGTAGTTAAATTAGGAGCTATGAATAAACCAAAGTTATTTGAAACTAACAATCACTGGAAAGACTCAGTAAAAATTTCTTTATTCTTTGCAGGCGTTTCACCGGCTGTTTTAGGAACCTGCACCTCTAGCTGTCTTACAACTTGTGTGATCAGTTGCAATCCGTTCTGCTGTAATTCCAGAATAGCAGCCAGTAATAACGCCCAGTTTCCAGGCATGCGGCACACGGTTATAGCACAAGCATCTCAGAAAGGATACATCATGCCTAATTCACGTGCTCAAGTAAACTCGATTCCGGTCCAAATAGTAGCACCACAGTCCAGGCCGATGTCATATCCAGTGACCCTATCTGTGCGATGCATTCCACACTTTCTTAGACCATGTCCACCTGGAACACAAGTTTCACAGACGGTTCGGGGTTCCTATAACATTCCTCTTACTGGTATTCCTGGAAGGAAATTGCAGCCGCAGACACGCCCATTTGTCGCCCTGCCTCAACTGACTTTACCTAGAACTCCTCTCCTGACACCAAGCTATCAAAATCAGCGAGCATTTCTCCAAAACATGTTTCCTTCATCGATGCAGTCTCCGTGTATTCCCAGTGCATTCAACCCATGCTCACCACAGACTAAGCCTCCTTTAAAATCCACATCAGTCATAGACTCTCCAATTCATGTCATGCATCTTCAAACCGCACCACGTCTCCCTAGTATGATACAGCCACCAAAACCACCTACCATGAAACCTACATCAGTGGTGGATACGCCACTTCATGTGATCCACCTCCCTCCTGTACCACCTCCTTCTAGCTTCATGCAGCCACCCTGTATCCCAAGTGCTTACAACTCTTGCCCCCCAGTGACTCCACCCACCATGAAACCTACATCGGTGGTTGACACACCTCTTCATGTGATACACTTGCCACCTCCACCGCCAGCTTTCCCGCTAGTTTCCCCACCATCTACGCCATTTTTTCTTCAGAGACCTTCATTTGTACCTGTAATGTGTATTCCCCGTCCTTATTATCCTTGCCCACCCAAAGTAAAGGCAAGGAAACTATCCAAACCCTTACATAGGAAGGGAAAGTCTCGAACATTTATGCCCAAACCGATTTTGGCAGCGTACCCTTACCCTTATGGCGTACAATCCTATCCTCGCCCTTCATTTGTAAGTTATATACCCTTCGCCCCGCCAGCAATGTCTCCCTCTTTTTTATCAATGCAGCAAAGGCAATATCAACCTCAGCCATTTGGCTTAAAACCACCATTTCCTTTTTACACTAACCCCATATGGCCTCAAATGATGCAAAGACCCGTCGGAATAGTCCCGGTGCCTCAACTTCGCTATGCAACCGCGATTAAGAAAGCTGTAAATGACAACCCAAAGCAGCCAAATTCTAATCCAAAGCCCATTCCTGCTAAAGGACCTATTTCATTGCAGGGCTCTTTATTTGTTTACCCCAAACAAGCGCCAGCCATACCACCACTACTACCTCCAGTAGCACCTCAGATGTCTTATCAATGTATTCCATCTCCTTATAATCGATGCGTTCCCATTCCCCCTTTTTCAGTGACACAAAGGCCTTTTCAAGTGGTTAATCCCTGCATCCCTTCTTTAGCGAATCCTTGCCTTACCAATGTCGTTAAGCCAACAACTAAACCCACTAAAACTGCACCGAAAGCAGCAGAGAATAAACCTATACTTTTAACGAGACCGTTGCAACTGCAAGGTAGTGTTTACATCAAATCTAGCCCTGCCCGTTCAGGTACAGCGTATCCAGCCGCTACTCCATGCATTCCAACTGTATCTAGACCATGTTACCCTGTGCGATCACCTGGTCAGCCCCTTAGGCCACAAGGTTTTGTATCCCCTAAGACTTTGAATGTATTTTCTAGAGTAAAGCCTCTCCAACCCCTTCAATTGCAACAACCAATAAGGAATGTTGCCTCACCCGTTTCCAATTTAAATGTACCACAACAATCTTCAGCTGCTTCACAGTCATTTGTTGTCGAACTTCCTGAAATTTCTTTACATTATCCTGCACCAGCACCTCCGTCTCTTTTGCCTGCCTTCCCATATCAAGCTCAAGCACGCAACTGTCCAATTTCTTGTGTGCTCAGACCAGGCCCCTTTTGTCCTCCATACTGTTCAGCGTCTTGTTGCAAAAGGAAAAGTGCAAATCATCATAAACCTAAAACGAAAAGCCAAAAGGAAAAACCCAAAGCAAAAAAGAGAAAACAAAAGATTCTGAAAATTAAGAAACCTAAAAACGGATAGCTTGATCTTTAATTAAAACCAACGGTGGAAACCTGATTATTCGAACCACCTACGGAAAAAGAGATTGAATCAAAAGATATCTGGGGATTAGCAAAACAAACAATGTAGCATTTAAGTGTTTGCTTCGGAAGGAAATTCAGTTTTGATTAGAATAAACCGTAAGGTTGTTGAAATCGAGATTCCACTGTTCAATTAGACAGCGTAAGTTTGTTGTTGTTCTTGTGTGGAATGGGGGAGGCGAAGCAACAACATGCAAGTAACAGCAGTGACGGTAGATAAATTGTAAGGACCATTTTCAAGGGTCTTGCTAGTGTCATTCTGCCTTGAACCTAGCACAGTAAAGAGCAACATGGTCTCAGACGTTAAATTTAGAGACTCATTCAATTTAAGAATTATTTTCTTTGGACACGCGGCAGAAGCACGACGAGAATTAGCCTATGTAACGTAATTTAGAACAGAGAAGTCTTTTGCTTCGCTTTAAATTTGCGTGTAGTAATGTTTCTCTCTGTAGTGATCAATGAAATAAACATAGCAATTTTCTACACATACATCCTGCGTCATATGTTGTCAATTACTGTATTCAATTTTTAGACACTTATTGTTTTAGTGAGATTGTGCACCCCGGAAGTAGGAGAGGTGCGGGTTAAAAGACTTGGTCCATTTTGAGGGGGACATGGGGGTTTACGGTATTGCGGTATTGGGCTTTTTTTCATGCGGTATTTCGGTAATTTTAATTTTAACGTGCGGTATTGCGGTATCATCTAGCTCTGCGGTATGCGGTTTTTCATCATTTTGGCTGACGGTATTCGGTTAAATAAGATTGTTCACGGTATCATGGTACCGTTTATTTGCGCTTTCCATTCGATACAATACGCAAAACAAAACACAGTAAGACACACAGGTCAATAAAAGTTAATATTTAGAAGTCTTGAGAGATAACGGTAAATGATTACACCATTTGTGGGTCATTTTGTGACAGTTAATGGTCGATAATATACAATGTGGTTGTTGTTGCATCCAATGATAATGAGTCGTCTCAAGTTACCTTACCAGGCTTGTCGATCTGTGTACCTGTACCGGTAATTCGAGGTCTTAAACGTTTTCTCACAATGTCTGAGGTCGCTGAGGTTGAAGACGGCGAGGTCATCTTTGACTGTGTGGCAATTTTTTATGAACAGGAAGAAGGAGGCGAAGATTATCGCAATAAGAATAAGTTTAGATGTTGGGTTTCGAGAATTGAAAAACGCCTTGTAAAGTTAAAAGAGAAAATTTGGTTTAACAGCGCGGCGTCATCCTCGGAGACCCAGGGGCAGATAAAGGGGGCGAGGGAAAGTCTAAACGGGCGGAAAAATATGGCACGAAGAAAAGTAAAGAACGGCGAGAAGAGCCCCTGGGGACAATGTCTTACCAGACCAGTTCCAAACGGTCGCCGCCGGTCTGGCTTCTGATTGGTGCCAGAAAACTTGTGTTTTTCTGGCACCAATCAGAAGCCAGAAAGCCAGAACGAGAGACTGACCTGCTAGACTAGACTCACTTTATATCAAAACTCGCACTAGACGTGCGTAGAAAGGGTTTTGGTTGGTTTGTTTTTCGCGCTTTCAAGAGTTATTTTTATTGGAGTTAATTAGCTGTTGGGTCGAAATACCAAAAGACTGAACGAATGTAGTTTACTTTTCAGTGAAAATTTGCGGAAAATTGCGAACTACCAAAATATTTAAAAAAAGATGGACATCTGGTGCATAAATGCCTGAGATAATTAAACGCGCTACATGGAAGCAACCATAAGTATGCGGAACCGATTATAAATGTGATTAAAATATGCGGTATCGGTATTTAGACGATTTTCGACGCGGTATTTCGGTATTTGCCATTTTTTCCCCCCTCCATTTTGTTCTTAATTGGGTTGAACAATGATCAAATTCTCAGTAAAGCCCCAATTGGAACAATGTTTTGTTCCAAGTTTATGCAAGCACCGACAAGGTTTGATTGGGTTCTGACATTAATCTAATAAGTTCTGTCTAATAACATGAGAGTTCTCGTGGACTCCAAGCCTTCTTTTTCAATAACATGATGAAGAGAAGAAAGCCAAAGTCTTGCTAAACTGATTTATTGGATGGACGTGAACAGAATATCATATTAAGTGCATGGACGGTCATAGCAAGGTCTGAAGATGTAGGTTTTTTTATCTGAAGGGTCGTGGAATGGTTAGCCGGGATGGCCCGCTTTACGGGATTGGCTCAGCTCATGCCTAGTTTTCTCTTACAGTTTTTGTTGTGGGCTGGTTCGCTTGCCAAGATCTCGGCTCGAGCAACCGGAATTTCGGCAAACCGAGGCATCCCAGCCGCCTTCTCATATAAACACAACAAAAATGTTATGATCATGAGCCGACTTAGCCTTGAAAAGCGGGCCAGCCTGACCCGACTGTGTTCGAAGTCAATCAAAAATTGTGCTTTGATTAAGTTTCATTGATTTTTTGCTCTTATCTGTTCGATTTGTTACTCAGGGCTGACGGCTGATCCGCAGGCCCTTTGTTGATTGTCTCGCTTCACCATCTCGGGAAGCTAAGTTTGATTGAGACTCAGTCTCCCTTAACAACTTATCTCTAGTTGCAGTTCCCAGGGGGGGTACTCGGGATTTCAAGTGACGGGGATGATCCAATAGAGCCAAAAGTCAGACCCAAAAAAATCCCTAGGACTTCCAGCAAAACCCAAAAAAATCCAGTGACGGTAAAGCCAATTGACTGAATTGAAGCGATTGAAGTCTTGTACACGGACGGGCACCACGGAACAATGCAGACTATTGTATAACACGTGCGATGTAAAGTGACACCATAGTTAACATTAAACAACAGCAAAACACGTTTGTTTGTACTTTATTCGCAGAACTACGCAGCCAGGGCACCACCGATTCTTTTTAATACCCCCAAAAAATCCCTACTCAAATTAAGCTACCCCAAATAATACTTGCCAAATTTTCGTACCCAAAAAAATCCGGGAATCGACAATTTCAAACCCAAAAAAATCCTTCGATCATCCCCGTCACTTAAAATCCCGAGTACCCCCCCTGGGTTGCAGTTATTGCTCTTCCACGACTCACAGTTTATTAAGCAACAAAAATAGTAAGTAAAACGATCGACTGACTGTATCTCTTTCAGTTGCCATTGCTTCAGTGACTCGGCCATTGCTTTAAATCATCCGCAAGCTCTCACGCTTTACTTTAAACACCAGGTGCTCGTGAAATTTTTTCATCTTTTGGGCTCTCTCCTAGAATAATGAAAGTATATGGGCCCACAATTTCAGAGAGAATAGAACAAGGCGGTTAGAAAAAGCCATTTGTCTTCCTCAGAATCAGAAATTGGGACCTCCCTGTCTTTGCTTTTTTGGCTCCAAAACTGCGTGCCTTCGAGCGATAGAACGTAAGAGCTTCCAACATGCCTTAAAACCTCATTCCTGTCGTAGTTGGTATTAGGATGGTAAGCCAGGCCGCAAACTTATGGAAATCAATAAGTGCTACTCAAAATGTTTCTGAAAATAAACCAAGTAAATAGATGTTTTTATTCAGCTCAGTGATTTTATGTAATATACGTCATCGTCGCCTAAGATCCACTTTTTCTCTTAGCATTAGAGGACTGCATTAAGAAAACCTTATGGTATCATCTTAATCAAATGATAACCAATTTTTCCCGCCGACATAATACTTCAGGATATACAGTTTGGCTGTGTTAATAAAACACATGAAAATCGTTGCTTTGATTCTTTTGTATAAACTACCTCGTAATTTATAATTCTTTTATCAGACGTCTTTATTGAAAAAAAAATCCATAGGTCCTCTCTTAATGTTAAATCAGATTCCCTTTGCTCTAGATACATAGAAACAAAGGAGTCTCGGACATAATACCTCCCAAATGACAATTCTTATGAGTAAAACTTGACTGAAAACCAGCCTTAAATTTTATATTAATTTAATGACATCGAGGTCACCGATTTGAGAGATTGTCTTTGATACTTGTGTCTACAAAACAAACCTCGTGACGTTACTGAAGTGAAATGTTACACAAACAAATACTAGTAGCTTTAAAAGTGTGACTTTCTCGCAAAGAACTTGTAAAAAGAACACGATTATTAACCTTTTAACATTGCATTAAAGCATGAACATTAGACAACGGTTTACTTATGCGTTCTCTCCGCAGTGTCATCCTTGATTCTCCTTTCACAATTACCTGTTCAGATGAGCTTTGTTTTTGCTTGTGTTAAAAGAGATCTACAAAACAATCGGCAATGCTATGTTTCTGTTGGTTGTTCAAGGTGAAAACATATGGGTTACTTATGACTGAAAATATTCAAACGTTAAGAGTTGAATCACTCAAACCAGACAAGGGGATTGTTCTGTTGGGGCATGCACTGATAGATGGTTCTTGAATAACAAAAAGACTTTTTTTGTAAGATTGGCTCCGAAAAACAAGCTTTATCGTACAGGTACGTAAAAGAGGATTCCTTTTTATAATATATCTTCCGTGTTTACAGTAGAAACACTACCAAAATGTCTTGCAGCGGTACGCTAAATTTCAGTTCCCAATTTTTTTTTAGTCTGGGTAGAGTAGGGTCTTAGTTGCAATAGCTGAGCGTTAATTTCTTTTGTAAATGTGAGACTGTTTTGCTTTCGCCATAGACCTCTTTTCGTTTCTCAATGCTTTTTAACGTTTTCTACGTCACATCTATCTTGTTGTTTAAGTAACTAATGGCGATGCTGCTGGTGTATTTGTTTGACGATATGGTCGATGGTAAGGAGTGTAGTATTGATGCCATACTTTTAACAGCTAAGATCGCTGCCTATATATTTGGGAGAATACAGGAGTTTTTTCAGGGATTCAACAATCTACCCTAAGATAGAATACCAACTAATATTATGTATAAACATTCCGTAATGATATGGTAATACATCTAAATGAGATAACAAATTTTATCTGCTAATACAGCAACGTGTATATTTCCTATCGACTTAAAATCGTATAGGTAAAACTTCGTTTTTATCAACTCTTGCAACAGATCTATGCATTCGTTGCATTATGTTCAAATACACTGCTGTGATAAAGATTGTATACGACATGACCTAGAAAAATACTTGATGTTAGCACCACCTGCCGTGTTTATGAATCTCATGCTTATATCTGAAATGATCCGTGCAATATGTAATACGAAATGACCTGTCTTCTTAGATTATAGGGACTGCGCTCCTTGATCAAGAAGAACTTGTCAAGAAACGAGGTGAAATGGAATTTTAAAGTATTTTTATAAAAATTCATATTTCGGTCAACCTATTGATAGCTGTAATAAGTCAAAGGTATTCTCTTCAACGAAAGGGACAGCCTAAATGCTTTAAGCCCGTTGTGGACTATCAGCGATAGGATGTCTTTCCTTTTGTTGTTTTTCTTTTTTATGTTATGGATTATCTAAAACAATGTGTTTTATGCGTGTATTTCTCTAAAATGAAAGAAGACGGAGCTATGACTAACTCAGTGGACTAGCGTAGATATAATGTCCATTTCGTATAACACCACAGTGTGCTCACTTTTGTTAACTTTTACGTCTCAGTACACCTCACATCCTTGCTTAAGTCTAGAATCGTTCGTAATCTATTATTTGTTGATCAAAGGTAAATCGAGTTAAGTCTTAATACTTTTGCTTTGATGAACGTCTTTTATTCTCGTACTCTAATGTAAAGAGGAAGTATTCATTCATAAAAACACTTTCGCAAAGTCGTTTCGAAGAAGTTCGAAAACAAAAATCAAATTGTAGAGGTTTTTTTTCTTTACCATTAAGTCAAATCTGTAAATAGCTCAATTCTATCGATGATGTCTTCCATTCTGTTTATTACTATACCAATCAAGTTCTTAATCAGTTGTTTAATATAAAGGGCATTTTTTTCTTTTACCTTTTCTTGGAAAAGAAACATGGTCTTAGATACTGATTCACTTGTTTTCATTACCACAGGTTTGGACGTCTAGCCACGTGATATGAGGGGACTGTTAGGGATTTCTCTTTTAGCATTTTGTCTCCTTGTACGAGCTAGAGGTGAGAGGTGGCATAGTTATTACATGAGTATCGTAAAAGGGGCATGTGCGTAATAGAATTCGTACTTCTCTACTTTATATTTAACTTAACCTTGTTTTCGTCGCCCACAGCTTATCTTATAACTTTGTAAATAAAGGAGCAATCTGATTATACATTCTTCTGATTACTGTTGAAACTGAGTTGTCCTTTTCTCAACTGGCGGACAAATTAATTACGTTTTTTCTTATATATTACCTTATTGCTGGTGGGCTATCATGGTGGAAAAATTAAAAGACTAAACTCTGTTAAGTAGTGGCATTTAAAAATTAAAGCTAGCCTCAGCCCTAACGGAGGCTTACCAACAAAGATTTAAAATTTCACTTTTCACTTATTTTCTCTAGCCGTATTTCCATTTTCTGTCATTCCTCTTATCAACTGCTTTTCTAATGATTCTTTAAACGTATTAATAGATAACGACCACATCACTCCTACGACGTCGTCCTCTCTTTCAGACGGTAAGTACGCGAATTATTCACAGTAACTAAACCTGAAATACAAGAAGACACATGGGTTTCTCTCTACTAAAGACATGGTGTTATTTTCGCCGTCAATGGCCTCTTGGGAGATGGGCGGCGCAAGACCTCAAAGAATATTATCAAGCCTGTATTAGGCACGTGAAGTATCTCAATAACTGAATGTTGCCGTAACATCAACTGACAGCGTGCGTTTAATTACAGCTTTTACTGATAGCAGTGACGAAGCAGCTCCGGCATCATATTCTGATTCCAAGTCTCAAAACAACAATGATTGGCTCACTGATGATGATGACGATAATGACGACGAGGACATGGACGAGAGCCCTCTGAATGTGCAGCCAGCGGCGAAAGCAAAGTCATCAAAATCAAAATCCAGTGCGCCTCCACTGTCCACTGGTCAGTTCGTTACGATAGTTCCTATGCATGGTTAAAAGAAGTTAAATGAATAATTTACAATAACGAGTGATTTCGTGTCCTCTGATTGGTGGAAAGCTATGGTCGATAAGAGTACAATTCATGAAAAATAGTTGTCAATTTAACAATGAGGAGAACAATAGACAGAAATGGTTGCAAAACGCCCACTTGCATTTTTAAACTAGGCTTGCTGAAGCTCCCTTTTCTCCTAATATACGTTAAAAAACAGTTTTTATTTCAGTGAGCACGTTTGCAAAAAGAAGTTACTGAAAAGGGACTTTTTCATCGAGGACTTACGCCCTCACTGTTTGTGGTAAGGGGCTTTGCCTCTGGCCGCCTGTTTTTGTGCATTACACGCGTATTAATCAAGTAACTTTGAAAGGAAAAAATAAACAGGCTGCTTGCACTTCATTTTGAAACAAGAAATTTTAATCACATTGTTTCTTTACAGACCAAGTGGCAAACAAGTGTTTTCAAGCACTTAATCGCGCACGTCTTTTGTTCGGTGCAAACCCTCTCATCCGCTCACCAACACTTGATATTGGAGCCAAAGTCGCGAACGACAAAATGCAGAAAAGAGGAGTAGTAAAGAAGGATGCCAGTATCAAACACGGACAACTGCAGTGTATAAAAATGACGAGCTCAAACTCCGTGCCTACAGAATGCATATCCTTCTGGCTATTGCAAATGCAAAATTACGATTGGTCCAAACCAGCAATGAAGGACACAAGCAGATTTTTTGTCACTGCCGTTTACAAAGCAGCCACTCATGGCGGGATAGCAGTCAAGAAAGGCCCATCAGGAAGATACTTTGTGACAGTGTTACTGGACCCTGCACCTGATGCTTCAAAGTTGAAGAAGAATGTAAAAGGATACTCAGGTAAGCAATGAACAAATGAACTTAAAATCTTTAACAAAGGCTCTGTTTAAGTGGGAAAAGTTGCCCAGGGAAAGAGTGTGACCCTACCAACCGAGTCAACTTTAGCAAAAGTTTATAGGAGAGAAACGTTTACCCTGGCGCCAGCTTTTCGTCTAGTTGTAGGCCTGGCTGCTTTTCATTTCCACATATCCTGAAAATTGCACTCATGACCAGTACGCACTGACCTCACCAACACTTTGAGCTCTTAAGCTTTTTAGCTCACCCCAACCGCATAATTTATTACAAGTGGTAGAGTGATCAAACCAAAAACTTGTATGCCGGCGCCTACAGGTCTATGGGCTGGCTACGCCCCTGCTTTTCCCGAGCCAAGAGCTCGTTGAGTAACCTCGATACAACGAGTCTGTGATTTTTAACGTCAAGTGTTTATACACAGATTTAAAGCCAGTACTAGCGTAATAGCACTGGACAGCTACACATTTTCTATCCAAGCAAGTGATTAAATTTACTTTTTGTTTTTTCAGATCTGTTTACATCCGTGGCTGGAGGTAAATTCTTACTGTTAATATCTGTTTGTTACATTATTATTATGATAACTATTAGCATTGCATTATCATTATCATTATTATAATTATTCAGGTGACACTTCCTCCTCCGACAAATCTACCACTTAGATATGGTTAAAGAGGCACATCTAAATAACCTCATCACTGATCTGTCTGTTTGAGATGCACTTATTTTGTCAATAATTCAGTACCAGCGCACTGACATTTAATCGATTAGTGGCGTGTCAGAAACTGAAAATTCTCACCTATATATATATATAATTCGATCTATTGCTGGTTTTCAGTGTCATGCCATTCAAAATTGATGAAAATAAAAATCAAAACCGTTCAATAGTTTAAGACCAGAATCTGGGACAGACATGAAAGGAGGTAAATATACAAAGACCCTCGCCAAGATTCGGGTCAGAGGAATATTTCGTACGCGAGATATCCGAAGAAATGTTTCACCCAAATTTATAGACGCCATGCTGGTACCCACCTAGATGGGCACCAACTTACCGAGTTTTGTTACAAAAGCGTAATTTTATCCCTCGAGGAACTCATAAACATTAAAGTCATATTTTTTCTAATACGTTAGCCGTTTAAATAGCAAAATTCCCCGAAATAAAGTCACTTTTTTAACCTGCATTACAGCTCTTTCGGCCGTCGTGTAAAAGCCGCGTCAACCAAGAACCTTTTTGAAGCGAAAATTTGTATATACATTAGTTTTCGGTTGCTCTAATACATCACGAAAGTAAAATCTCAGTAGGATCGACAGTTTTGTAGTTTGAATTTTAGTGACGTCATGTGAAAACCAACAATAAAAACGTTTAATGCGTAATGACAAGGTGTAGGATAAAACCCTTGCTTAACTCAACGGCTCCAAAAACAACAACCTACAGTTAATCTAATGGATCGTTTGATAAACTGATATTTGATTGATTGATTACTGATTGACTAATTTATTTATTCATTTTTAATTGGTTAATCAGTTCATTGATAATTGAATTAGCTACCTCGATACCTATCTGCAGCTAAATGCTCTACTGGCTTTACTGACTATGGTGGCACTTGCTACAAGTTCCACACCGACAAACAAACCTGGTCAAACGCACACGCAGCATGCCTCAAGGAATTCGCAGTTCTTCCGGCAATTGCAAGCAGGGGAGAAAATGATTTTTTCAAGCAGGGCCTTTTAAAGGGCAAGAAAGGTTTCAGTTGGCTCGGCTTTAATGATCGCCTTGCGGAAAGTATGTACATGGCCGTTGATGGATCGCAAATAAGGTTTATGGACTGGGAAAACGGACAGCCTACTGGCAAGAATGAGAACTGCGTTGGCTTCAACAAGGATGCTAAATACGGAACAATGGCTGACTATCCCTGTACTAAACCCAGCAACTATGTGTGCAAAAAGCCACTAGAGGGTAAGAAAATTCCACAAACAACTTGACGTGCATATATATTATCAGAAACAAGAGGATAAAGAAAATGATATCTGATAGCAGTGAATAAATATTAATTATAATTATTTTTTTCATCAAAGACTTTCGCTTCCCCTCCCTTCCAAACCGAGGCTAAGAGATACTCGCAAATTGGCTTAATTCTCACTTTTCCAGCTAGCGGGTGGTCATGTTGTTCTATCGGCAGTCCCCTGATCAACCGTTTTCTCGTAACTTTTTTTTTGCCAATAATTCCAGGTGACATAACCTTCATCGTCGAGTTTGTAGTGGAATCAATGGTATGGCTAAACGATTTTAGTAACAGTGGTTCTCTCGCTTATCAACAACTGTCAGCAAAGTTTCAAAAGGCGGTAGGTAAAAAGTTTTTAATTGAAGTTTTCCTGTAGATGACTAAAGCCGCTGTTCCCAGGGGTAGAGGCGAACAAATATGGGTAGCTTTTTGAGAGAGGGGTGACTTCTTTACGAAAGCGTAAGGATGTTATGATCTTAGGTATTAATATTTCTTCTTTATTTATTATTTAGATACAAGAAGTATACAAGAAAGCAGGAGTAACAACCTTTAAGAGTGCTGCTATTCAATCTGTCAGGTTGGTTAGGAACTAACCCTTTTGCATAACGAATCCTTCTACAAATACAATAAAAACGTAACGCCTAAAACTGCTAAAGTTTTGTATGGGGTTGGTTTCACATTAGCATTCCATCTGACAGTAAGAACCTGACACATGTATATATAAATGGAAAATTGACTTCATAGCAAAATTAGTTTTACTGCGAAAGGATCAACAATATAAATAAAATACTGCTTTTTAACCCTGTTGGTTAATACATATTTTTGCGCTAACGCGAGAGAATATTTATTCATCTTAAGTATAAAATAGGCTTATCACCATACTCACTGATGAACTGTACTCATGTTTTCAGTAACGGTCTACCACCACAGCCTGCTGTTCAACCTTACCAAGCTTACAGCTACCTTGGAAAGCGTCAAGTTACGGCTATTAAGGTCACACCAGCACCAACAACTCCTCCGAAACCAAAACCGAGTGGTGGAGCGTCTCCTAAGCCTACTCCAGCCAAGCCAACGACTAAAGTTCCTACCACAAAGTATGAACTGATGCTAGTCAAACTAATTTTGTAGTTCCAAGTGGCACATTAATTTTTAATGGGTGTAGCTAATGAGTCCCTGAACCAAATCCCGAATTAGGCAATACCAGCTTTCTTTGAAACCTAGAGGGTCCTGAAAATTTGTAGCTGTTGTAACTTTCCCCATAAACAATGATTACGTCACCTTTCACTTCCTAGTCTCAAATCAAGCTCAATAAATTGGGCAAAGGATTTCAGCTAATCCACAGGAACTTAAGAACCAAGATAACAAAATTTAACCGCAGTCAGTAATGAAAATATTTTGATGACAGGAGTTTCTTCTGTTTTGCTTAAAGATTTAAGGGCATTCGCTTAACAGAACCTAAATGCTTTTCTTAGACCCAAGGCAAAAGTTACAGTTAAATTTGCTATGACCTTTGGACCAAGTGGCTTACCCCTGGATCCAACTGCAGCCTTCCAAGAGTACCTAAAAGCTAACGGCAACAAGCTGCCAGCACCAATGAATGAAGCGATTAAACTGAAGTCAATCAGTGTTGCACCTCCAGGTATGGTGATGCAAGGATCGAATGTTCGGGGCACTTGTTCTGATTTGCTGCGTAGAAAATACTGACTATTGATAGCATTTTGCAGAATAACAAGCACTCAAATTAAATCGGCCAATTTCCTTTTTGCAGCAAGACACAGTGTGACGGTGACCAAAATGTTCCAATACTTCCTCCAATAAATTAAAGAATAATGTTAACTAACTAGATACGAAATCCAGGAAGTAAGAAAACTGAAAGACAGAGTGAAGTTGACTTTTCATTGGTTACGCTAGCTATTCAAAATTAACTTAAAAACAATACACCGCATTGTAAGAACAAGGACGGATAATCTCTCAATTTATTTCTACACACTTCATTAATTTTTTTACTTATTTCTCGAATTTTCTGCCGTCAATCATTTACAGTCACAAAGTTTGCTTTAAAATTACGATTGATAAAAGTTAAAATGCACAAAGTTTACAGTGTACTTACACAATATATTACGAAAACGTGTGCGTTTTTTAGGTACTGTGAGCAGCGTGACCTGTCCTCCTATCTGCTCCACCTCCTGTATCTCGAGTTGTGCACCCAGCTGCTGCTACTCGGCAGCTCCTGCCCCAGCACCCCTCTATGGCACTCCGCCCTGTGTACCTTCTCCACTGAATCCATGTCCACCACCTCAAGCTGCAGCACCAACTCCACAACCTCGACAGTCAAAGGTTAACGCCAAACGACCGGCTTCAAAGTGTAATCCAGCTACCGGAGCCTGTGCAACTACATCGCTTTATCCTTTTCCAGCACCCGCATATCCTCAATTTCCAGCGCCCTCACCTTGTATTCCAACTCTAGCTAACAACTGGTGTAGGTCAAACGTGCTTGCCAAGCCCCCTGCAGTCAACAGGTTTATCCGAAGGCCTGTCACTTACAGGTATCCTCTTCGCCCATACAGAAGTAACCTGCCTAAAATGGTATCAGCAAAACCAGTTTCCCGAGCTGTCCTTCCAATGCCTCAAGCTGGTGGATATGGAGGATTTAATCCGTGTGCTCAGCCACCGTGCCCACCAATGATGATGCCACCACCTCCACCACCGCAGCCTATGATGATGCCTCAGTACCCGATGCAACAGGCAAGTAACAATTATAATTTTCGTTGTAAGGTAACCCCTCAATATTACCGTCAGTTATCGGAAATAGATAGGACTCAAAAACAGTGTTTTCTCTTAATTTCCGTTATGAGCTAATTGAACCACTTAATATTACTGCCCGATGTCGAAGACAGGACTCAAAACACAGTCTTTTCTCGTAATTGGTCGTCATATCTAATTATATTTGTGGTTTTATGATTTTTGTTTTACCCCTTCAACAGATGGCGCCACCCTGTGTTTCAACTCCTTTCAACCCATGCTCACCACCTGCACCACCTCCACCACCTAAAAAACCTCAACCAAAGAAACCTGCAGGCAAAGTGGCGGTACCAAAAATGGTTAACCTTCAAGGCTGCACCTATCCACCTTGCAGCATGATGATGCTTCCACCACCTCCTCCTCTTCCAATGCCACCACCTCCCATGCCCATTGCACCACCTTGTGGTGGGATGTTCACACCTCCCTGCCCACCTCTCTCTCCCCCAAAAGCAGGGAGCACCAAGTCTAAAAGCATAGCTCCCAAACCAGGATGCACTCCAACACCTTCAAATCCGTGCGCACCACCAATGCCTATGCCTATGCCCATGCCCATGCCAATGCCCATGCCAATGCCCATGCCCATGCCACAGCCAATGCCGATGCCACCACCGATGCCAATGCCAATGCCAATGCCGATGCCGTGTGGTACTACACCAGCAAACCCATGTGCTAAACCGGTCAAGCCAAAACCACCAAAGCCGATGACAATCAAACTACCTGCCATACAGATCCAGGTTCCTCAGCAGCAACCACTTCCAATGGTTCCTCCCATGGCACCACCTATGCCTTGCCCACCACCCTGTGGACGCCTTCCAGCATGTCCAAGTATGTGTCCTCCGACATGCTGCCAGAAAAGATTAGGACGACGATCAGTTAAGTCAGCCAAAGGAGAATAAAGAGATTTGGTCTTGTTCCGACCGATAAGATTTAACAAAAATATCGCACTAACAGCCACAAAAGTCACAAACTTTTAGTGTTCCATTTTCTCATTTTTGAGCTAACGTGGTTCAAACGTTAATTAATGGACCGTGTGTTCTAACGCGAATTAAATTAACAAAATGAGCCGCTGAGAGAAAGCTTAAAATCTAACAAACATACAAGAGACATAGTTCCTTTACCAACCACCGTATATATTATACTAAAGTGTAATTAGTGTTATAATCCAAAATTAATATCACTTCTTTAGGTTTTACTTCTTTTTCACCTTCTGGCGGTGGTTTGGTAATGGTCTCACGTTACTTTTATTTCTTAATAAGAAAGCAATAACTTATCGACGGAGTTAGGGCGACTGGTGTATATGTATATTTTATTTTTGGTTCAGTTAATATGTTGTAAATTTAATACTTAGTTCTTAAGAGATTTCAGTAAGACTTTACTTACAAGGGCTCCATAACAGGACAAAGTGGTCGTTTTGAGTGACTGCAAGAACGTAAAATAGAGAATAAAGCTATAGGCATTATTTAGTTGTCTGCTATTTTCTTCGTCGGTAATGTTATTTTATGTTGAAAAGTTCTATTCAGCTGTTTTTCTATCCATGGCCATCATACATCTACGTCGACTCATTTGCATCCTATACTAAAATTCAGATTCTTGGCGGTGTTGAGACCAGTTGTAATAAAGATGTTTGGAGCCTGTCTGAAAGTTGCCGGAAGTTCCAGGCGCAATCAATAAGTAAAATTACTGTAAGGCTCGTTTAGAAGAAAAGGAGGTCACTTATACGCTGAGGTCAAACTTCACATGTGCTGAACCTAATGCTAATGGACGAAGAGAGCGGATTTTGTTGACTGGCACTGGGTCCCCAACATGCGAATTTAGCTTAAGAATGAGGCTCCTATCCCCTAACCACTGAGGAAGGCCTGGTACTCTGCAAAATAGAAGTCTGACGCGTCGTTTAACACGGGACTATGCTCCGTTGTCATACCAGTTCGTGAAGCATAATTATCGCTTTCATGTTTACCTTCCATCCACTTTTTCCGTAAATACATTGTTCATCAGTTGCTCTTGCGTCTCAAAGAATGATCAGAGAAAAGAAGTCAGCTGGGCCGACCTAGCTTTCACTTATCTTCCATTATTGCCTTAACAGTAAAGGTAAGAAATATATATCCAAAATTAAATTTAACTTTCATCTTTTATTCACTTTAACAATTATCCAGTAACAATGAATGTCCCATTTTCGAGATGCCCAGCCTCTTTTTCATTACGAGAGAGTAAGGGCCTGTTTACATGGAGGTGGGGGACCCTAGGTAGGTGAGGTAATCCGCTAAGGTGGCGTAAAAAAATAACCCTCCTTTATATGCAGTGTTACAACTCCGCCATCCCGGGGTGCACTTTCTCAAGTTTATTGAATGGTCGCTAAGCACGTAAACAAGAAAAATGCTGGCAAACCACGTGTTTTGGCGATTAATGCTCTTCTACATTCCTTGCTGCTCTTGTTGAAACCTTCAGTGATGTGTCTCTCTATTGTTACCTTTAATAACGATGCAAAGCCACCGACAAACTGAATTTTGCGCGAATTTGATGTACCATGAATCCGACCCCGACTAGGCGGGTTACCCCACCTTGAAACCGGTCTGGCAGACCAGGATACCAGCCTTGACGGGTCACCCCACCTATCACGTAAACGTGATCAAATTAAAATGAGAGATCATATGGATAGGCGGGTTACCCCACCTAAGCGGGTTACCTCACCTACCTGGGGTCCCCCACCTCTATGTAAACAGGCGCTAAGTGCAACATGGAAAAACTCTTATCATTTACTAATAGAATTCATTCCCTTGGCGTCATTTTCAAATTGAGGATTTCTTGGTTTTCGCTTATTCGCCAAGTTCCAAACCCACAAAAGGATTAAATGTTCAAAGCAACTGAAACATAAGGAAGATAAAATCAAGAATATTAGGTAGATAATGGACTTCAAGTTTGTCTGAAGCTTTGCTTCAGTCACCCCGTTCCCTGCTTGCTTGGGACAATACTGGGAAGAAGAGGCGTCTGCTATCAGGGAAGTCACCTCAAAACTTTCTTTTAGAAATAGACTGAGGAAAAAAGGAAAGTCGGATTTTGATTGACAGTACACCGATACAATCCCTAATTTAAGGGGTGTTCGATCAACCGTATTGCAGAAAAAGAACAAATAAAATAAACTCTAGAAATCACTTTAAATGTTTTGGCATTCATTGCATTGCAAAATCGAGGTATCTGCTTGAAATGAAATATTCTGATGTAGCTTTCAAGTGGTCCAAATATTATCACGGTAGAAGAGATTTGTCACAAAACATTTGCGTATTCTTATTCTGGAATTACAGGTCAATCGAACGCACCCCAAATATACTTTGTCGATATACCGGTCCAATTCACCACTGACAACAACACTGCTTGAAAAATAGCATGGCACTTAATCTTTTCCATGTGAAAATAACTGTATATATGAAATTTATTTATAAAAAAGACAACAAAGAAGTTGACCCTGGTATTAGCAATAAATTGTTTTAACTTCTGTTCGAATAATTATTTTGCAAAACTTGCGTAGACCCTGGAACTCTAGCTGGAAAAGCCGTGCAGTCGTTATCAACAGGCACTTTCTATGGGGTTCCCTCTTTTCCATCCACTGAAAGATTATCGCACACATTTTCTTCACGGCGAGCATGATCCCTCATGAGCAGTCACCGGTGAATTTGTTAAAAGATATGGTTTGAATAGCACTTAAGCTGAGATTTACAATTGACCCATACATGTATGTAACCGATAATAAACTCAAGGAGAATCCGTCATCGACACTGACACCTCGAGGCTAAAGCAAATGGGTATAAGCTGGCGGTCGACTATCGATTGACACTCGGCTGAGACCTTGACGCGGAGTCTCGCGCCCGTCGAACGCGAGGCGACGAAATGTATCGACCAGATATCATTCGTTAACAGTTCATTCTAATTAGCATTCTAAGTCACTATCACCTCAGTCAGCTATGCACTTACACAAAGGAAAAACCCAAATACTCTGCCAGACACCTGTCAATTGAGTTTTGCCTTTTGTGGCCTCAAAGACCTCAAAGTTTCCAACCGAACGGATTTCTTCAATTCCTTTTGCGAATTGACACATATCCATCAAATTATTCAGTAGGATAAATGTGACCTTATTTGTGGCCGAGCTATTATTTTGCGTTACGTTTTAAGAACTGTTAAAACTCTTTTATTGATTTTTCTATTTTTATTACTGTAGAGGTTTGTCTTTTGTGATCCATGTCAAACTCTCATCGAAACCGTCCTCAATCCTTTATAGTATATTATGGCGTCCTTCTTCTACCAGTTTAATCTTTCGAGGTTTTTCCTTCAATTTCAGGAGCTGAGTGTATAGGATCCAAAAGAAGAGATGCTCAAAATATTGTGGCTAAGCCAATCAATTAACTTTAGTAATCATTTATATTCCGGAATAAGGCAGACAATCGAATTCACCCGTAGATTCACGATATCTTTCATTCATCAGTTGATATCTTACATTTAGTACTTGTGAGTAAGAAGTAGGTGCCATTCATTTGTCTCAGAAATAGAGGTGTAGGTGTGAGGCCGCAAACTAAGTAACTTTTTGTCCTCTTATAACGGAACTGTGACACAACTTATCCTTTCTTTCTTATGGAAATGTAATTTTCTCCTCGAATATTACATGTCCCAAAAATATTAATCCATTTATCTTAACGGAAATTTAAACGCTTCTTATTTTTGATTCATTTTGTCACCTTGTTGAACTGCCAAGCTGTCGTGGTTCCTCAATGATACTGATTTTTACGCTAAATGAATTATCTTTATTGAGTAGTCATAAATCAAGTGTTTCATTGTGTACAAGTTGATTATTCACCATCAGATGTCCGCCATAAAAAACCCTTTCATCCGATCCCGCTTTCAAATTTCAAAGGCCGCAAAGTATAGACTGGCTGTAAGTCAGCCGTAATGGGGACTAAAACAAAAAGCTCTTTCTGAAATAAGGTAATGTCTGTTTTTCCACCTAAACTCTTTGACAGCCTAGAACGGCCTACAAACATTGAATAGGACTTAGCTATAGATTCTGTATTATATTGGGGTATGTATTAAGAGAAAAATATCTTTTTTCTTGTTTTTCATTCTCGTCAAAAAGAGAATTCTTCCTCGATCTGCTAAGAAAAAGATAGTCTTTGACATACACTCTCCCACCTGTTGCTTTTGTAATATTACATGCGGTGACTCAAAGTCTTTTGTCTTAACGTTTATTACATTTCCTTTATCCTGAGTCTAACCCTTGTTAACACAGACTTAACCGTGTCGGCAACCTTATACATTTTCGTAGTTAGATTTCTAATGGGGCCGCATGAGCTTTGAAAGTGGAGTCTCAATTCAAGACGAACCAAGCATAGACAACAATTCTTAACACACGTAATAAGATATCCAAATTACAATAAAATCTACCATTGCCTAACTAGCTGTAAAGTGTTTCGCTTGATTATTGAGGGCAATTTACATAAAAATTTATTTTTCACACGTGGGAAGAATCGTGTTAATGAAAAGAGATTATCAAACCCACGAACTCTTTTGACGATGAGCCATGTTGAAATGGGCTTTTTCAATTTCCGGGTTCCGCAGTTGAACCGATCCATTTGTGAAGCTTATTCTTTGTTATTACCATGTTAAATTGTTTTATCGCGTGGAAGTATTACGAGTTTATTGTTCCGTGAACTATATATTAGGAAGAGAGCAAGTTGACGCTCCGCATACTATTCATAATACTTTACCCAGGATGTCAAGCGCAAGTTTTTGGTGCAGCGTTTGTGTTTTCAGCGTGATCCTGGCTCTTGCTACAGCAGCACCTCCAGATAGAACTAAAGGTAAATTTAGTTAACGAAAGTTTTTCTCATCCGCTTTTAACACGAAACCCAACAAAATGACCAAGCAATTCATAAGCTTTTTTTTCTGACTTGAGGCTTACACCCAGAAAGGTTCAGTCATTACAATGGCACCTGTCAATTTTTTAGGCTGGCCGTATTTCCTTAAAGCGCTTTCAATTTGTTAGAACGGGCCACACCGGCCTCCTAGAGTTGTCAGGAGAATTCCACAATAAACACCACTATCCATCCAGATAATTCTATTTATAAATGGTATGCTCGGCAGTGACGGGTTATAGGGAAAGTGTTGAGAAAAAGGTAATATTTTATTTTCAAAATGAGCGGTCCGATCAGTCAGTGACTTTTGCAAAAGCGCCCTTCGATCTCCTTTTGGGTTTTTCGGCGTCTTCCTCCGCCCCCTAACTATAATTGCACGGTTCCCTGCTGAAATATCTACAATAAATGTTAATTAGCACTAAAATCGAATTTTGTCTGCGGATACAAATAATAACACAGTCTTCTTGTTTTTAACTGAATTTAAAAAATAAGTTAAAATGCTATAAGCTTTAAGAGTCCAGGTGACTAGGCGCGGCAGAACTCGAAAAGGCAAGGAAAAATAATGAACAATTTGTCGGGCAAGTTTTTCTTCAGTTTAATAAGCAAATAAAAGCCTGATTCTTCTTGAGGAAGGATGGAAAATTCTCTTTTTTCTCAATCCTGAAATTAATTTAGGAAGATTTAGAGTGAATACGTGCTATTAACATTCATCCATAAGAACTGGCAACTGCTCGGTAAGCTAAATGCAACTACCAAGGATAACAAAATCGACAGAAGTGCTAATTCCCTTCCCTCTTTCAATATAACCAAGCACGTCGCACTTGTAGCGTTTTAAACTGGCAGAAAATAAAACCAATTAATTTATAGCGGTTATTAAATATATTTCTTCGAAATTTGTTTCGTTTGGGTTGTTAATAATGTTTGCGTCGACTTTAGGTGTGTCACTGTGTGTCTTTATTGAACGCACTCTTATAATTAAAAAGTAAAAAAGTTCTTTCTAGGAAAATCTTTAAACGATAAAAGGCCATATATTAAGGTCTTCTGAAAGGTCGTAAAAACGCAAAAGTCATATGTTGAAAAATTGCCCATTTAAAACGTACGTGGGTTTATTGACTTTTAAGTTCTTATGGCAGAAGTAGAAGAACCTATCAGCGGTGTACGAAATGAATCAGTAATAAATTGGCATATATGGCTTCGTGATTAACCTCGTTGAAATTTGCTCATTTCTAAGGAGACAAATCTTTAAGTTCAGCTTATCTAATGGATAAGAACTCGATATTTTAAAACTTTTCTTTTCCTTTATTGTCTTTAATATTAATCTTGTTACTAGGAAATCCCCACCCGTTCTATGAAACCCCATATCCACAAGAGGAAATGGGTGAGAAGGAGGGATTTGGATCACCGATCCTGAAGCGAAATCCAGCCCCACCTGAAGACTGTACCGCTTGTTGTCAAGACTTGTGGTAAGTCACTGAGACTCGCGGCTTCTTCGGAACCGTCGCTCGCCGAAAGTCGCGGCAATCATCCGGACCTGGAAAGCTATTTTATTTGCCCTAATTCGCTTAAGATCAACTTTAAAACTGTGTTAAGATTAACATCATAAAACAATCAGTTACAAATTTGTTTGTTAGGATTTGGGTCTCTAAAACTATCTGAGTCAGTAATAGGAAACTCAAGAAAGGCAACCTGCATTAGAAAACTACGTTGTGCCTCATTATATTTAATGTGGTTGGCATATTCACTTGACCTTTTCATAACATAACATTTCGATAGAACGTCGGTTGCTTTTGTAAAATTAGTATTTTCAATTATTTTTAATTTTATAACATTGAATGCCAAATGCTACATGCGGTTTCTTAAACCTTAACACTATAAGACACATCTCAAGTTGCTTGGTTTTCGCTTTTTACTTTGTGCATGTTGATGCAAAAAATAAAATTATGCTCACCATCTTAGCGTATTTTCAAATAAATAGTTTTCATAAATGTTTTAACTTTAATATTATCATAATTTTTTATTATCTTCAGGTGTTCGTACATCAATACAAGATGTCTTTGTTCTCCTCAATGGAACATTGGTCCGTGATTATTCATGATTATTGGTATTTTTGTAACGACATGGAACTTGAAGACTTCTTTAACGTACGCCTGTTTTTTCATTCAAGAAACCACAGAAGTTATAGTTATATCATTTCAAATAAGTAATCAGTTGCAACCAACTTTATCAGCAGCAGGCTTAAAGCCAGAATACTTCGATATAAAACGTGGTTAAGCCTAACCTTATCAATTTAGGTGAAAAAAGAAAATGAAATTTAAAACGCTATTGTTTGTGAGCAAAGACTCCTAATTAAAAATATACTGCATCTCGGAGTGTCTAAAGTAAGTCAAGTTTGTCTGTTTTTCATTCATAGTTATTGTCACCTTGTTTTCAACTTTAAAACAAATGTTTTCCACAAGGATTATCAATTTTTTTATCTGCCAAAACATATTACTTTTTTTAACTATCCTGACTCATGGGAAGGGAGCCTATATTAATTGAAAAACAAAGACCATTCTTCGTGATAAAATGTTGTTTAATGGGATATAACACCAATTCAGTGGAACAGCACTTATTACATGTAAATTTCAGCCACCAACTTTGAGTACCAGCTTTAGGCACTGAAATTTATTGTTGCAATCGTACTACAAACAGACAGAAACGAAATATAATTGGCTAATGGTTGCCTGTCTGTTGAAACGACAGACCAGTCATGCCTTAATTTTCATCACCTGCTCAATCCTAGACCACCAGTACAAAAAACTGGCGCTAGTACCCAGACTTTTCTCAAGTGGCGAATTGGTGGTTGCTACCTAATGAAACTGTGTCATCAGTGAATATCTTAAATGAGTTGTTCAATGACTCTTGTAATGTTTAATCCCCATCTCTGTCATTGCCATATCAAACTTCCTCACCGTCAGTCAAGAGAGCACTGACAGGAATCGTGTGCTCTGGGGCATATATTGCTAAACAAAGACAAAAAATTAACGTTATTCCACTATTTCAAAGTAAAAAGCCTTGCTTGGTCAGTGAAAAACTTTGCATGGGAAGAGGCATAGGGGTGATTCACTACTTGATCTTCTCAGTTTCAGTCGCCCAAACAATTTGTCTCGAGGGCAAGTTTGTGAGTAAAACAAGAATTTAATTTATGAGATACAGAGCAAAGTTAACGCTGAAATGAGTTCCGCATTTGTGGTTCCAAACTGTGCTAAAAGTCGAAATTGAAAGTAAGTAAAATCAGTACATTATATGAATGTTATTTATACTAGGGACTTTTAAAAAGATATCAAACAATTCTCTTAAAGGAAACAGCCCATGATCAGTTTTTGGTAAATTTTGGCCAACTGCAGAATTAATCTTGAAGACGTTGAAGCAGGTTATTGTTGTCGAAAGCCAACGACACACGCACTTTTCCCAGTTTCTTTCATTAGATTGTGTGGATAGGCTTTTTAACATACCAGAATCTCCGCACGGCACCACTTGTTTATTCGGTATTGTCTTTGCTTTCCCGTAAAAGGAAATACAAAAATGAAATGATCCAATGGTATAGGCCAATTCTGCTGACGTCATTGTTCACATTTTTGCTCATTAGCGTTGAGGGATCTTACAGCTTACAAACCAAAGCTGAAAATTGCGCAAATTTCTCAAGTCAACTCCAACTCTCACTTTAATTTTAATTTGAACTATAAAACAACAAAATCTGCGAAATTGCTGTGCGGCAAAAAGAAGTTTAACAATTAGCCCCATCAAGCATATTTTGCAGTGCGAACGACGATACTATAAATATTCACCCCCACAATGACAGAGAATTGGAGTGAGTCTTAAAGTGATTCCAAGTAAGAGATTGTACGTCAGAGGTTTCGAGAGAAAAAAACGCTTGCTCTGTAGGCTTACATAGCCCGTAAATTCTTTGTTTAAAGTTTTAAGAGAGAATTTCTCTGAATATGTTTGGTATATGCTCTACCAATATTCAGAAATGTTATCTTATTCGCTCGATCAGGGAATGAAAAGGCCGTGTAAATGGGGCAAGAAAATGTAAATTCAAGATTCGCAAATAGAACGCTAGGTTACCTGGCTGGATATATGCAGCAAATTAGACAGTTACGAGTTTTGCCTTGCTTGTGAAACGTATCTTGATCCACATCGTCATCGATTCGCTGCGAGTACAGACTGGTACCACGCCCACTGTATTTGGCAATTTTTTCCTCTTCACTAGCAGCGCTATCGTCATCTAAATTTTCTGATCCTCCACGCTCCTCAGCCCATAAAACGCCGTCCGTTATTTTGTGACCCTTATTACGGGGTCTTTCACGTGGAAGGTACTCGCTAAAGCTGTCATCGTTTCCGTTATGGTGAGAAGTAATGCCATCTTTATGGCTGGGAAAACGCATTTCAAAGCCTTCCAATGAACTGTCGTCGTTTGCTATAGAGTCCACTGATCGCACCTCCCCGTGGTGAGAGACCTTGATTTTGTATCCTTCATTTACAGGTGACAGTTGCTCGTAAGGCATGCTATCATCGCGTGCACTTCCCTTTAGAATGCCTGCATTTGTGTTCAATAGGTCTCTATTGTGACCTTTAGCGTGATAGGCTATCGGAGAGTAGAGCTCCGAGCTGCTATCATCATCTTTTTTTACGCCAGGCATGTGGTTGCCGTTATAAATTCTTGCACTACGATATGCCCTGTATAAATTTGCAAGATGATCTAAAGAAATCAAAGAAAACAAGTGATTCTTCTCCAGTTTAACAAATATTTTTCTTTTAATGTTAATCCGCTGTTGCCACTGCCAGGTTTCTTGGTTTTTACCATAGGTAAGAGCATAGTTCACTGTGCTACGGATTTAAAACTGAATCAGTCGCAAAAAAGATTCCTGACGGCCCTGTTCATTATCCAAATCGTTCTTTTAAAGTGCGATGAAACTATTTAGTTTAGTTGCTAATCGACGAACCAGTAACCTGTAGTACTAGACTGAGAGACTGTAAAAGAAACTTCATGCCTACTTGATATCTCTGATTATATACATCGCCTTCCAGCTGTTCTGATGCACTGACCGTCATGGGAGTGTAGAAGGCGGACAACTCTGGTTAGAAACAAGCTTTATTTTTTTGGTCCGTTTGTCAAAGCAAGTCGATTACAAGATACAGGTTTCAATATTCTTGTAGACAACATGATAAAGTATCAGTTGACAAACCAAATAAAATGGACTGGTCGGTTAGCTGGGCCAGCGCTCTTGAACTTAATATTTTGATTTGAATATTTGATTTCGGGTCCGACTTACTGGGACTTCGAAAAAGGGTGCCAGGTCCTCAATGCTCTCAAAACTAACTCTTGAGAATTTTCAATTTAGAAATATATCTTAGACTTTGTCCGTATCAAGTATTCTATCAACAAAACTACCTTACAGAAAATATCAAGCACCCTTTTAGGTTAAAAAAGTTTTCCCCAGTTTTGATAATTTTATAATGTTATCGGTGTTATTTTTCAGTATCTCTGATGAAACTTTTGTCGCTCGTTTTCACCCATGCTTGACGTTTCGTATTCAGACCTATAATTTCTCTCTTTTCGTAAATCTAACTCTACTTACAGTTACGATCTGAGTTCGTTCGTCCATAGACTTGTACGGTGAGAAGGAAGGCAATTCCCAGAAAAATCACACTAGCCATGTTCGCGGGTACAGCGTCTGAAAGCTTTTTCGCAGTGGCATGAATTTAAAGCGTGCTACAACGCAGCCAGTGATTCTATACTGAGTTGGTTCCTGCTGGCTCTACCACGGGACACTTACGGATAACAATACGGCTTAATTAGCCTTTAAGCTCGTGGTCGGATTTTTTCACATCTGAAACACAGGTGCATTTAGTTTTGTTTTTGCAAATCATGACGAAACTTTTGATGATGGAACTTTTCTTGCTTGAAAATGGAATATTAACAAAACATCAGCTTCAAACAGTCTTTGGAATCCCTGTCATCAATAAAGATAGTCTAATATAAATAAGGGCCTTAATCGCGCACAATTTTTACAATTAAACATTCGCAAAACACCTGTCACATGACTTTTACAAAACACAATGTTTTTCAAGAAATGTTAACAGAAACGAAATTTAGAAACTTATTGTTTAGATCTCGCCGGTCAACTAGTTTTACGTTTTTCCAAGACAGTTAATCAAGCCAATAAAGTTAACTCAATGAAATATTTTTATTATTGGTTATAAAAATTCACATCATTGTATTAATAATTTTCAGTAATACAGTTACCGTGCGTGGTCCCATGGTGTAATGGTTAGCACTGTGGACTTTGAATCCAGCGATCCGAGTTCAAATCTCGGTGGGACCTATCCCATTAAACACGGCCTTATTCCGGTTTTTATTTTTTTATTTTTTTGGTTGCCACGCTGCACCCAGGGTTGATGAAAATTTTCATTTTACCAATTAGTTTATCGTCCCTTCGTTAGAATTTTACATCCATAGAACTAACTTAGAGAGTCAAGACTATCAACTGACTACCACAGGTATTTCAACTAGGTTGTCGAAATATCAGTCTCTGTCAATAACAGTCCTGTTTAGGGCTAATCTCACCCGGACGATCATTCTACTTAATATGAAATGACTCCTGGGTTCAAACCTTTCACGGCTTGCATCATCACGAGCTTTCCTTCTCTCTGTTCTCTCTACGATGCATGCCGGCACTGAATTCAAAAGGTTTAAAGAGTTTCATGTCATGGGCATTTTTTAAGAGATTCTCTAGGTACTTGAAAATCATAATGCATCAGTCAATTCCACCTGCGCCTAGCCCCCCACCCCGGGCAACTGCGGGGCATTTGCCCCCCTTGTCAGTCCCGGGGGTGGGGCATTTGCAAATGTTGCACTGCTCGGGGGCCGGGCATTTGCCAACCCCCTGGCCAATCCCGAGCTTTTGACACGCACGCGGTTTCCTATCAGAATATAACTACAAAGAAGGTTTTACTGAAAGAAAAGCAGATTGGCTCATTTGTTAAGGACAGGAATAAATTGTAGAGGCTTGTAACGGCATGTTCTCGATTTTACATGTATGTATGCATTTTTTCATCATTGCTTATCAAGCCAGAACTACGTAGCGAAATTGGAGCTATCGATGTGAATCAACGTTTTTTGGTTATTGAATCAAATTTCTGTTGATATTATTTGAAGAACATCCTTTCATATTTATAAAACTATTCATAACATATAACTTTACAGCGCTCTATTAATTTTAATGTCAATAATTTTATACCAATACTAAAACCATAAACTGGTGCATGTCGTCGCGGCGCGAAGTCTTAATTAGGATCCTCGCGCTATTACAAAGGAAGACGTTAAT